CAACCAACATCTGCAGTGAAGAGAAGGACATCATGTCTCCTGCGACTGAAGTGACTCAATGCTTTAAAAAAAAATAAAAATGTATAAATATTACTGCAAAGTGTAGTGTATTGTTTTTTTCTTGTACCTCTTAAAGAACAAATATTATGCAAAGTTCCATAGAGAAAGACAAATTTAATATCATATTGAAACACACTCCACTTGAATGAAAAACGTGTTCAGAAAATTATTATAATGTAATTTTAGCCACAAATCACACACACATCTCTGTATGGAGTCATTGGGAACCATCTACAAAGTCCCTCTGGCTGGAAAGTCCCCCTGAATTGCACCCTCTATGAAACTAAGTTAGTTAACCAATAAACATTAAAAAAAAACTAAAATACATTTTACAATAATACAATATTGTACACACGCAAGTTACAATATATCTCAACACAATTTTTCATACAAAAACAAAATAAAAATTATGTGGTCTCAAACACACACAGATTAAATTACTCCTCAGGAATAGTCTACAAGTGAAGCACACACTTTATGTATAATCTGTCAATTTCATTGTCAATTTCAATAATAATCACTCAATTACTCACTCCTACTCACCAGAGTGCCGCAACTATTTCTGGATTTTATCTTAATTGTATTTCACTGAAATATGCAAGACCTTCCTAAAAGTGATTCTGAATAATTTTTGAACAAATTCTGTAGCTTTCTAAGTTTCTTGTGCTGCGTTGCTTACAAATTATGTTCATGGCAAGTAAAGAAACAATTAATAGTTCTTCCCAAGGAGCCACATACGGAAGAATTCTTAAAATTTGTTGTTTAAATACATTTCGTATTTTTTCTTCAGTTTTCAGATTTACCTTAAAACCAGTCTGTTAATGTGTGCCTTGTGTCTCAATGGCAACTGATGAACATTTCACCATAAAGACACATGTAGAACAACCTCAGCGTGATGTCACTGCAAAGTATCAATAATGAATTTGCAAAAGCTGCAGGTATTTCTTTATTCTTTAACAGAAGATGTTGCTCCTGTAGTTTATACGTCTACAAACATGTTCTGAAATACATGGGATTAGTGGTCTATCAGTTCATAGTTCAACCTTCAATAGCAGAACAGAATCCTACTTTTTAAACATGCTTCTTATCGGGAACCAGCTGGAAAGTCCCCCTGGCTGGAAGGTCCCCCTGACTTGAACGTCGAAACTACGCAGACAACAAGGGGAAGCGATGCAGTTTTAAATCCTAGCATCCTAGCATTGTGGCGGTGAATTACTTCGTGGCACATAGACCTCGATTCCATCCCATAAATCAAAAACGACGGCAGCAGTGTGCGTTGAGACGACACAGAACTATAATTTGGGCTCGGCGATTTCACTGACAAGCGTTGCCATAGCGATTAGATATTTGATTTATATACACAAATCAAATATAAACATCTATTTGCATTTTAGTTAATTAGTCCATTCTATATGCATAGAATGTTGTTACATAACTTTTAGAATCTTCGTTGCCATGGAGTTTTCAGTCCAGTTCTAAGAACCACACAGACACATAAAGGGTCACTTGAGCACAGACGCAGTCATTGAACATACACACTCTGCAGAGCTCGTGAATCGTCACTATCGCAATATGTTTTCGGCAATGAATTTCACCGGTTTCGCGCAAACCAACCCCGAAACCAAATACGAGGTTTTGGGAGTCATCGGAGAGGGCGGGTACGGTACTGTTACCAAGTGCCGTGATCGAGTGACAGGGGAACTTGTCGCTCTAAAACGCCTCAAAGATGACAGAACCTCCTCCCAAAATTTCCACCGGGAATTGGAGATGTTAAGTTACGTCAAGGAGCTACACCCAGACAGCTTCAATCTGGTCAAACTGGTTGACTTTTTTGACCATGATGGCTGTGGATCTCTTGCGTTTGAGATGCTAGATGTAAGTGCCTACCATCTCTGGAAAAGGATGAAGAGTTTCACGCTGAGCCAAATACGACCGATGGCGAAGCAGCTCTTGACAGCTCTTCATGGTTTACGTTGTGTTGGTGTAATGCACACGGACGTTAAACCTGATAATATTATGCTGGTAAACCAAAAGGAGAGGCCATTTAAAGTGAAGTTGATCGATTTTGGCTTGGCAAGGTACTCTGGAGAAGTACTAACTGGAGAAGTGATGCAGCCAATTTCGTACCGTGCCCCAGAAGTAACTCTGGGTCTTCCACTTTGGGAGGCAGTTGACATGTGGGGTCTGGCTTGCTGTCTCCTTCGCTGGTTTGTCCGCAGCACAGATTTCACTGGCTTTTCCGAATTCGACTTCCTGATCAAGATTGTGCGCTTCTTTGGGGTTCCACCAGAGAAGCTCCTGAACGCGGCGTTGTTCACGTCAAAGTACTTTGTTCAGGAAAACTCCAAGTGGCGACTGAAAACTCTGCAGGAGTTTAAGGAGACCACTGGGATGAATCCAAAGATGTCACTTTCCAAACCTTCAGCAACAAACCTGGAGCAGCTTATCAAAGGCTCTAGAGGGTCTGTCTCAAATCAGGAGCAGAGAGACGTGGAGCAGTTTCACGACCTGCTGAGTAAAATGTTGAAATTGGACGCGGAGGAGAGGATTACGCCATCGCAAGCCCTCGATCACCCATTTATCACCATGGAGCACTTCACTGATGGTGATGACTACATGAGGAACGCTCACGAGTTAATGCGTGTCACTGAGGCTGAGTTTGGACAATCACAACGAGACGCAAACCAAGACATTGCTGAGATGGACTTAAGAGTTCCTAAATCAGTCAGCTATTCATCACAGGACAGTATCTGGGATTTGGAGGACAACATGGTTTTCATTGCCAGTCCCGATGACTGCAGTAAATCCAAAAGCCAAAAAAACGTGGCTACCAAAAACTGTCAGGGAGTCTCCATAGTTAAGGGAGAAGACACAGTTGGAGTACCCTTAGAAGTGGATGTTTGCAAAATCAAACAAGATGAACCAAAACTTGCAATGGAGACAGACACAGAAACTATTTTGCAAACACTGAAAAAGGAGCTGCCTGACTGCGGTGAAATACTGGAGGACATTGAGAACCTATTCCAGGATGGAGATGCTACAGAAGCGGAGATTAGCCGACTGACCCAGAAAGCCTCCAGGTCCTTCTTTGGCAGGCTGATTCCGCATCGTCTCCGGGTGCTCTTTTCAAGATTATTTAAGCTTCGGAAAACTGGCACAAGCAGGCCAAACTTCAGAAAACCAAAATGGCTCCAACGTATTACAACGTTTACAAGAAGGTCTACCACATCTGGGCCTTCAAAACACTAAACCAACCAACATCTGCAGTGAAGAGAAGGACATCATGTCTCCTGCGACTGAAGTGACTCAATGCTTTAAAAAAAATAAAAATGTATAAATATTACTGCAAAGTGTAGTGTATTGTTTTTTTCTTGTACCTCTTAAAGAACAAATATTATGCAAAGTTCCATAGAGAAAGACAAATTTAATATCATATTGAAACACACTCCACTTGAATGAAAAACGTGTTCAGAAAATTATTATAATGTAATTTGTAGACACAAATCACACACACATCTCTGTATGGAGTCATTGGGAACCATCTACAAAGTCCCTCTGGCTGGAAAGTCCCCCTGAATTGCACCCTTCTATGAAACTAAGTTAGTTAACCAATAAACATAAAAAAAAACTAAAATACATTTTACAATAATACAATATTGTACACACGCAAGTTACAATATATCTCAACACAATTTTTCATACAAAAACAAAATAAAAAATTATGTGGTCTCAAACACACACAGATTAAATTACTCCTCAGGAATAGTCTACAAGTGAAGCACACACTTTATGTATAATCTGTCAATTTCATTGTCAATTTCAATAATAATCACTCAATTACTCACTCCTACTCACCAGAGTGCCGCAACTATTTCTGGATTTTATCTTAATTGTATTTCACTGAAATATGCAAGACCTTCCTAAAAGTGATTCTGAATAATTTTTGAACAAATTCTGTAGCTTTCTAAGTTTCTTGTGCTGCGTTGCTTACAAATTATGTTCATGGCAAGTAAAGAAACAATTAATAGTTCTTCCCAAGGAGCCACATACGGAAGAATTTTAAAATTTGTTGTTTAAATACATTTCGTATTTTTTCTTTCAGTGTTTTCAGATCGATAAAATACTACTTCAAATTTGATTTTATCAGGATATAGAAGCTGATTTGTGCCTTGTGTCTCAATGGCAACTGATGAACATTTCACCATAAAGACACATGTAGAACAACCTCAGCGTGATGTCACTGCAAAGTATCAATAATGAATTTGCAAAAGCTGCAGGTATTTCTTTATTCTTTAACTTTATAGAAAAAGATGTTGCTCCTGTAGTTTATACGTCTACAAACATGTTCTGAAATACATGGGATTAGTGGTCTATCAGTTCATAGTTCAACCTTCAATAGCAGAACAGAATCCTACTTTTTAAACATGCTTCTTATCGGGAACCAGCTGGAAAGTCCCCCTGGCTGGAAGGTCCCCCTGACTTGAACGTCGAAACTACGCAGACAACAAGGGGAAGCGATGCAGTTTTAAATCCTAGCATCCTAGCATCCTAGCATTGTGGCGGTGAATTACTTCGTGGCACATAGACCTCGATTCCATCCCATAAATCAAAAACGACGGCAGCAGTGTGCGTTGAGACGACACAGAACTATAATTTGGGCTCGGCGATTTCACTGACAAGCGTTGCCATAGCGATTAGATATTTGATTTATATACACAAATCAAATATAAACATCTATTTGCATTTTAGTTAATTAGTCCATTCTATATGCATAGAATGTTGTTACATAACTTTTAGAATCTTCGTTGCCATGGAGTTTTCAGTCCAGTTCTTTAACCACACAGACACATAAAGAGTCACTTGAGCACAGACGCAGTCAGTGAACACACACACACTCTGCAGAGCTCGTGAATCGTCACTATCGCAATATGTTTTCGGCAATGAATTTCACCGGTTTCGCGCAAACCAACCCCGAAACCAAATACGAGGTTTTGGGAGTCATCGGAGAGGGCGGGTACGGTACTGTTACCAAGTGCCGTGATCGAGTGACAGGGGAACTTGTCGCTCTAAAACGCCTCAAAGATGACAGAACCTCCTCCCAAAATTTCCACCGGGAATTGGAGATGTTAAGTTACGTCAAGGAGCTACACCCAGACAGCTTCAATCTGGTCAAACTGGTTGACTTTTTTGACCATGATGGCTGTGGATCTCTTGCGTTTGAGATGCTAGATGTAAGTGCCTACCATCTCTGGAAAAGGATGAAGAGTTTCACGCTGAGCCAAATACGACCGATGGCGAAGCAGCTCTTGACAGCTCTTCATGGTTTACGTTGTGTTGGTGTAATGCACACGGACGTTAAACCTGATAATATTATGCTGGTAAACCAAAAGGAGAGGCCATTTAAAGTGAAGTTGATCGATTTTGGCTTGGCAAGGTACTCTGGAGAAGTACTAACTGGAGAAGTGATGCAGCCAATTTCGTACCGTGCCCCAGAAGTAACTCTGGGTCTTCCACTTTGGGAGGCAGTTGACATGTGGGGTCTGGCTTGCTGTCTCCTTCGCTGGTTTGTCCGCAGCACAGATTTCACTGGCTTTTCCGAATTCGACTTCCTGATCAAGATTGTGCGCTTCTTTGGGGTTCCACCAGAGAAGCTCCTGAACGCGGCGTTGTTCACGTCAAAGTACTTTGTTCAGGAAAACTCCAAGTGGCGACTGAAAACTCTGCAGGAGTTTAAGGAGACCACTGGGATGAATCCAAAGATGTCACTTTCCAAACCTTCAGCAACAAACCTGGAGCAGCTTATCAAAGGCTCTAGAGGGTCTGTCTCAAATCAGGAGCAGAGAGACGTGGAGCAGTTTCACGACCTGCTGAGTAAAATGTTGAAATTGGACGCGGAGGAGAGGATTACGCCATCGCAAGCCCTCGATCACCCATTTATCACCATGGAGCACTTCACTGATGGTGATGACTACATGAGGAACGCTCACGAGTTAATGCGTGTCACTGAGGCTGAGTTTGGACAATCACAACGAGACGCAAACCAAGACATTGCTGAGATGGACTTAAGAGTTCCTAAATCAGTCAGCTATTCATCACAGGACAGTATCTGGGATTTGGAGGACAACATGGTTTTCATTGCCAGTCCCGATGACTGCAGTAAATCCAAAAGCCAAAAAAACGTGGCTACCAAAAACTGTCAGGGAGTCTCCATAGTTAAGGGAGAAGACACAGTTGGAGTACCCTTAGAAGTGGATGTTTGCAAAATCAAACAAGATGAACCAAAACTTGCAATGGAGACAGACACAGAAACTATTTTGCAAACACTGAAAAAGGAGCTGCCTGACTGCGGTGAAATACTGGAGGACATTGAGAACCTATTCCAGGATGGAGATGCTACAGAAGCGGAGATTAGCCGACTGACCCAGAAAGCCTCCAGGTCCTTCTTTGGCAGGCTGATTCCGCATCATCTCCGGGTGCTCTTTTCAAGATTATTTAAGCTTCGGAAAACTGGCACAAGCAGGCCAACCTTCAGAAAACCAAAATGGCTCCAACGTATTACAACGTTTACAAGAAGGTCTACCACATCTGGGCCTTCAAAACACTAAACCAACCAACATCTGCAGTGAAGAGAAGGACATCATGTCTCCTGCGACTGAAGTGACTCAATGCTTTAAAAAAAAATAAAAATGTATAAATATTACTGCAAAGTGTAGTGTATTGTTTTTTTCTTGTACCTCTTAAAGAACAAATATTATGCAAAGTTCCATAGAGAAAGACAAATTTAATATCATATTGAAACACACTCCACTTGAATGAAAAACGTGTTCAGAAAATTATTATAATGTAATTGTAGACACAAATCACACACACATCTCTGTATGGAGTCATTGGGAACCATCTACAAAGTCCCTCTGGCTGGAAAGTCCCCCTGAATTGCACCCTTTATGAAACTAAGTTAGTTAACCAATAAACATAAAAAAAAACTAAAATACATTTTACAATAATACAATATTGTACACACGCAAGTTACAATATATCTCAACACAATTTTTCATACAAAAACAAAATAAAAATTATGTGGTCTCAAACACACACAGATTAAATTACTCCTCAGGAATAGTCTACAAGTGAAGCACACACTTTATGTATAATCTGTCAATTTCATTGTCAATTTCAATATTAATCACTCAATTACTCACTCCTACTCACCAGAGTGCCGCAACTATTTCTGGATTTTATCTTAATTGTATTTCACTGAAATATGCAAGACCTTCCTAAAAGTGATTCTGAATAATTTTTGAACAAATTCTGTAGCTTTCTAAGTTTCTTGTGCTGCGTTGCTTACAAATTATGTTCATGGCAAGTAAAGAAACAATTAATAGTTCTTCCCAAATCAGTAGATACAGATGTTATAGGACATGGGGAACATGAAAGAATTATTTAAAATACAATTTCATAGTAAACTTCTGCACGCAAATGTGTATTATATTGATATTACATACTGAAGAAATGTGTACTGCTTCAGAAAGATCGATAAAATGACACTACATTCAAATTTGATTTTATCAGGATATAGAAGCTGATTTGTGCCTTGTGTCTCAATGGCAACTGATGAACATTTCACCATAAAGACACATGTAGAACAACCTCAGCGTGATGTCATTGCAAAGTATCAATAATGAATTTGCAAAAGCTGCAGGTATTTCTTTATTCTTTAACAGAATTTTATAGAAAAAGATGTTGCTCCTGTAGTTTATACGTCTACAAACATGTTCTGAAATACATGGGATCTATCAGTTCATAGTTCAACCTTCAATAGCAGAACAAAATCCTACTTTTTAAACATGCTTCTTATCAGGAACCAGCTGGAAAGTCCCCCTGGCTGGAAGGTCCCCCTGACTTGAACGTCGAAACTACGCAGACAACAAGGGGAAGCGATGCAGTTTTAAATCCTAGCATCCTAGCATTGTGGCGGTGAATTACTTCGTGGCACATAGACCTCGATTCCATCCCATAAATCAAAAACGACGGCAGCAGTGTGCGTTGAGACGACACAGAACTATAATTTGGGCTCGGCGATTTCACTGACAAGCGTTGCCATAGCGATTAGATATTTGATTTATATACACAAATCAAATATAAACATCTATTTGCATTTTAGTTAATTAGTCCATTCTATATGCATAGAATGTTGTTACATAACTTTTAGAATCTTCGTTGCCATGGAGTTTTCAGTCCAGTTCTTTAACCACACAGACACATAAAGAGTCACTTGAGCACAGACGCAGTCAGTGAACACACACACTCTGCAGAGCTCGTGAATCGTCACTATCGCAATATGTTTTCGGCAATGAATTTCACCGGTTTCGCGCAAACCAACCCCGAAACCAAATACGAGGTTTTGGGAGTCATCGGAGAGGGCGGGTACGGTACTGTTACCAAGTGCCGTGATCGAGTGACAGGGGAACTTGTCGCTCTAAAACGCCTCAAAGATGACAGAACCTCCTCCCAAAATTTCCACCGGGAATTGGAGATGTTAAGTTACGTCAAGGAGCTACACCCAGACAGCTTCAATCTGGTCAAACTGGTTGACTTTTTTGACCATGATGGCTGTGGATCTCTTGCGTTTGAGATGCTAGATGTAAGTGCCTACCATCTCTGGAAAAGGATGAAGAGTTTCACGCTGAGCCAAATACGACCGATGGCGAAGCAGCTCTTGACAGCTCTTCATGGTTTACGTTGTGTTGGTGTAATGCACACGGACGTTAAACCTGATAATATTATGCTGGTAAACCAAAAGGAGAGGCCATTTAAAGTGAAGTTGATCGATTTTGGCTTGGCAAGGTACTCTGGAGAAGTACTAACTGGAGAAGTGATGCAGCCAATTTCGTACCGTGCCCCAGAAGTAACTCTGGGTCTTCCACTTTGGGAGGCAGTTGACATGTGGGGTCTGGCTTGCTGTCTCCTTCGCTGGTTTGTCCGCAGCACAGATTTCACTGGCTTTTCCGAATTCGACTTCCTGATCAAGATTGTGCGCTTCTTTGGGGTTCCACCAGAGAAGCTCCTGAACGCGGCGTTGTTCACGTCAAAGTACTTTGTTCAGGAAAACTCCAAGTGGCGACTGAAAACTCTGCAGGAGTTTAAGGAGACCACTGGGATGAATCCAAAGATGTCACTTTCCAAACCTTCAGCAACAAACCTGGAGCAGCTTATCAAAGGCTCTAGAGGGTCTGTCTCAAATCAGGAGCAGAGAGACGTGGAGCAGTTTCACGACCTGCTGAGTAAAATGTTGAAATTGGACGCGGAGGAGAGGATTACGCCATCGCAAGCCCTCGATCACCCATTTATCACCATGGAGCACTTCACTGATGGTGATGACTACATGAGGAACGCTCACGAGTTAATGCGTGTCACTGAGGCTGAGTTTGGACAATCACAACGAGACGCAAACCAAGACATTGCTGAGATGGACTTAAGAGTTCCTAAATCAGTCAGCTATTCATCACAGGACAGTATCTGGGATTTGGAGGACAACATGGTTTTCATTGCCAGTCCCGATGACTGCAGTAAATCCAAAAGCCAAAAAAACGTGGCTACCAAAAACTGTCAGGGAGTCTCCATAGTTAAGGGAGAAGACACAGTTGGAGTACCCTTAGAAGTGGATGTTTGCAAAATCAAACAAGATGAACCAAAACTTGCAATGGAGACAGACACAGAAACTATTTTGCAAACACTGAAAAAGGAGCTGCCTGACTGCGGTGAAATACTGGAGGACATTGAGAACCTATTCCAGGATGGAGATGCTACAGAAGCGGAGATTAGCCGACTGACCCAGAAAGCCTCCAGGTCCTTCTTTGGCAGGCTGATTCCGCATCATCTCCGGGTGCTCTTTTCAAGATTATTTAAGCTTCGGAAAACTGGCACAAGCAGGCCAACCTTCAGAAAACCAAAATGGCTCCAACGTATTACAACGTTTACAAGAAGGTCTACCACATCTGGGCCTTCAAAACACTAAACCAACCAACATCTGCAGTGAAGAGAAGGACATCATGTCTCCTGCGACTGAAGTGACTCAATGCTTTAAAAAAAAATAAAAATGTATAAATATTACTGCAAAGTGTAGTGTATTGTTTTTTTCTTGTACCTCTTAAAGAACAAATATTATGCAAAGTTCCATAGAGAAAGACAAATTTAATATCATATTGAAACACACTCCACTTGAATGAAAAACGTGTTCAGAAAATTATTATAATGTAATTGTAGACACAAATCACACACACATCTCTGTATGGAGTCATTGGGAACCATCTACAAAGTCCCTCTGGCTGGAAAGTCCCCCTGAATTGCACCCTCTATGAAACTAAGTTAGTTAACCAATAAACATATAAAAAAAACTAAAATACATTTTACAATAATACAATATTGTACACACGCAAGTTACAATATATCTCAACACAATTTTTCATACAAAAACAAAATAAAAATTATGTGGTCTCAAACACACACAGATTAAATTACTCCTCAGGAATAGTCTACAAGTGAAGCACACCCTTTATGTATAATCTGTCAATTTCATTGTCAATTTCAATAATAATCACTCAATTACTCACTCCTACTCACCAGAGTGCCGCAACTATTTCTGGATTTTATCTTAATTGTATTTCACTGAAATATGCAAGACCTTCCTAAAAGTGATTCTGAATAATTTTTGAACAAATTCTGTAGCTTTCTAAGTTTCTTGTGCTGTGTTGCTTACAAATTATGTTCATGGCAAGTAAAGAAACAATTAATAGTTCTTCCCAAATCAGTAGATACAGATGTTATAGGACATGGGGAACAAGAAAGAATTATTTAAAATACAATTTCATAGTAAACTTCTGCACGCAAATGTGTATTATATTGATATTACATACTGAAGAAATGTGTACTGCTTCAGAAAGATCGATAAAATGACACTACATTCAAATTTGATTTTATCAGGATATAGAAGCTGATTTTTTAACTCAACACATCACAGTGCGACTAAAGGCCGGCAAGAACATCCCCCTCTCTCGCCCAAGATAAGAGGACACCTGAAGGAGGGAGGGGAACGTTCCCGCTGAGAGAATGGTCACTCGAGCTGGGACTTTCAAGCCAGGGGGACGTTTGAGCTGGTATTCTCACACTAATATAACCATGCCTGTTTCACTGTCTTGGTTGAGAATCAAATCAAGCACAAAATTTGAATGAACAATAAAGGTAACCACACATTTATAGAAATCTCACTTTATACTCTTGTTTGGGAGATTACACTAGATGTTTCAAATAATTATATTTCTAATCAACTCTTTTTGCTGTAATTTTTAAAAGTGTAATAGCTTTAATAGACCATATATTCTGTTTTTGCATATCTCAAACAATCACAATCCTATGCATTTATTGGACGTACCACCAGCAATTCCTTCCTATAGTTACTAATATGAGCAGAAGTGACCTTATCTTGACATTTAGCGTGTTTTTTCCGTCCATTTGAATCCTCCTTTACCTGCCCTTTAGGACTATAATGTAATGTAGCAGCTGTAGAGTATCAGTAGGTCACATTCTCATAATATGGAAAAAGAAAAATTGTTTAGAGAGCGAGCTGTGTGGACCGGTTTAATCTTTTTTCAGATTTAGTATTACCTGCTTGGATCCTTCACACTTGCTTTTCTGTGAGTCTGGATGTTGTTGCTTCGTCTGGAATGTTTCACAGTATGGCATTAAACCTTTCTATTGTCACGGAGACCAAACCAGACCAAGTTACAGGTCAGATTTGTAAAGAGGCAACCCCACTCAGTCAGAACGCTTGTTTTTTTTTTATATTTTTGAGCCATAAAATTGCATCTAACTGAGTAAATGTAAGGTTTAAGCAGATGTTTAATGTCATACTGTGGAACATTCTAGCAGAGCACGGACAAATCTATAAAAACAAGCAGGTGACGGACCCCCGACCAAAAAGTTAAGCAGTTTTAAGATGGATATGCGTGCCCCCTCCCTCACTCACATTCTCATAATAAACAACACATAGATCTTCTCAGGGTCCAGTCTGACTCGTCTTGGCTCAGGTTGAAGGCCGACGAGCCGGTAAAACAAACACAAAATCAATCATTCCTCATTCAATCAGCATTTACAGCTGACAGGGGGACAGTAATAACCAGCAAGGCTACACTCGCCGTCAATAACACATGAACCAGACAAAGGAGCGGAATACTAAAGAGCCGTTGTTAGGGATGTCACGATATAAAATTTTACTGATATGATTACTGTGAAAACAAACAACACAATTTAAAAGGTCCTATATAACGCAAAAATTTATTCTTGTGAGCTTTAAGACATGGTGGAGTGTCGCTACCTCATCAAAAACATACTCAAAGTTGTGTTTTGTTTCGTTCACGCCCTTTATTATTAGTCTCCAGAGCTCAAAATGCTCTGTTCCAACTCGTGATGTCATGTTTTAAAGTTAACAGTTACCTTTTATGGTTTTGTAAAGATTGGAAATGCAGAGCTAAGATTATCCAAACGATTTTTGTAAAGAAGTATAAAGTTTAAAAACACAGTGGAGCACTTACTGTATTGCCACATGACTAGAGCTGGGTGTCATTAAGAAGTTGCCGATACAATACATACCTCAATACATAAGCCACGATACGATACATATCTCAACACAGTGTATTTTCAGTTCGATACGATATATTTCAAATTGATTCGATACAGTTCAATAAAAAATAAAGGCTAAATCGTGGCTGTGATACTAAAAGTCTTTGTTAAACCACTTCTTGTGCAAAGTTCATATGAAACACAAACATTTTAATCATCAAATCAGTCAAAATGTCAAATATGTTGCATATAAAGAGTTTCCTTCCTCTGAACAAGCAACAAAACTGTAGCGCTGTAACAAAATAATTTAGTAAAATATACCAAAAAAATACTCTTGGCGATATATCGATACAGCAGTCCCCGATATCGATACTGCATCATCACATTAAACGACGTGATATATTGATATTTCAATAACTTTGCACACCCCTATCAAAAACATAAGTTGTGTTTTATTTCATTCACACGTTTTATTATTACTCTGGCTACATCTCGAAATCTCAAAATGCTCTGTTCCAGGTCGTGATGTAATGTTTTAAAGTTAACAGCACCTTTTTATGCTTTGTTTTGTGGAGATTAGAAATGCAGAGCTGAGATTATCCAAATGATTTTAGTAAAGGAGTATCAAGTTTAAAAACACAGTGGAGCACTTACTGTATTACCACATGACATCACAAGGTGGAACAGAGTGTTTTCAGTTTGAGGGAAGAATTCAGCGTAAATATGCAGGGTTTGTGTGTTCAACATGTGTGAATGAAACAAAACACAACTCCAGATACTAGAGGTGGGGCGAGAATCAATTTCCATGAGACCAGATGGGACACAAGATTGGGTCCACGAGATTTTGACAGTTCAGTTTTTACTTTTACGGATGTCACGATATCCAAATCTCTCGGTACGACGTTATCACGATATGCATCTCACGGTACGAGATTTATTGCGATATGTTGGAAAGGCTGATATAATTGTAGATATGACACTTTTTTGCTTTTAAAATACCTTGACAAGATTTTGGTGTGAATTATTTCCATCATAATCCCAAGAATTCAAGTAAAAACATATTTTTTCATGTTGTGTGCGCTGAAATGAATCATGGGATATGTAGTTCCCGATGTTTATAAGTTGTTGCTACTATAAAAAATGCATTTAAGCAAAGGAACTTGTCATTCGATATATTGTGACGCCCAACGGTATTATTGTGAGACTTTTGACGATACGATATCACGATATTTCGATTATTGTTACATCCTTATTTACTTTATTTTATATTTTGCAGTCATTGTAGCGCTGCTTTTTGGGTCTAAAGCTTCTTGGGAAATGTGACTCACCACCGCTTAACCCCCTTTTTTTTAAGTCAAATCCAAAGATAAACACATGGAGAAAAATCTCACGAGATAATTTTCCTCATGTGTGCACGATCTTGTAGCAATTTTGTATGACATCGATCAGAAAAAAGCGCAATACGGGCCCTGAGATCCTTAATTTTCTTTCATTTCAGTCAACTACCATATCTAACGCACAAAGTTGAGGTGACATAAGCTTCTAAAATAGTCACGGTAATTTATTTTAGCTGTTAATTTTAGCTATATTGTGTCTTGAACAACAATCTGCAACAATCCCTAGTTGCACGTTGTTCTAAGACACCGTTCAACCATAGCCAGTGTAAATGAAAAGGCTTGTGCAGGGAAGGACATCTGTCTAAAAACAACAAACTCTGAAAGAAGATAGGGGCTGTGCCAATTAACTAAATTTAATTGGATCAAGGTCTACGAGTTAAAATGGTCAGTGATCAGATTGAGGTTTTTAATGAAGAGGTCTAGAGCCAATTCTCTGTCAGTAGAAGCATGTGGTTTGGAGCAGAGATCAGACTTTGAAGGAAGACATTTAACTTGTGTTTGTATTAAATGGCAATGAATAAAAGGCTTTCTTATCGTCAGGAAATTAATACTGAAAGACATTTTATTTGTCTTTAATAAATCAAAATATAATGTAATCAAAAAATGTCACTGATCAATTATGAGGAGCAAGAAATGAAATAAAATAAAATAAAAACTTGGCTACTAAATGAATATGGAGTCAAGAAGTTTTCATGCAACTTGATGTATGCAGAAAAACTATGGAGGCTCTATAACTAAAACATTATTGCATTTTGGATTTTTAAATTTTTATTTTCCATGTTGATGATATCTACCTTATTCCGCCCCGCCCCACTTTTGTCTTGAAATGGTCCTAAACCATGTTTTTTTGTGGTGGCACATCCAGTTTAGACAGGCTGGTGCCACTTAGTGTCTCCGCTCAATTTCATTTCTCTCCAGCGACTAGGTCAGGAAACAGAATACACTAGAAGGTTTTCAAGATCCCCATAAGTTTTAGACCGCGCACCGGCCAATCAGTGAAGAGCTCTGAAGCCATCACATCAAACTCAAGCGTCTGTCTGGGTCCCTTTGTGGTACAGCACAACAGTAAACAAAGCGGTCGAGATGGATGTAGACGAAGACAGACATTCTGTGTTGGCAACGATTCCAAAGATCGAGCATTTAAAGCCAGAACACAGAGAATGTTTGGTGAATTTTATCAAGCAGAAAGATGTTATTGCTAGGGGTATTTATTGCGATATCGTGGGAAAGCTCACAATATGGTAAGGAGGCTCACGACACTATCCAAATCTCTCTGTACGATATTATCACGATATACATCTCACGGTACGATATTTATTGCAATATTTTGTGGAGGTTAAACAGCTAAAACTGTTAATTTGCTACTTTTTCCTCTTAAAATGCCTTGATAAGACTTAATCCAAAGAAATAAGACTTAAAAATGCTTAGAACTGCTATTTCTTCTTGTAATCTGCACTGAAATGGAGCAAAGGATCATGGTCTATGTAGTATTTTTTTTAGCTATTACTGCACCATAACTCTTAAATTAAGCAAAAAGCCTTGTAATTCGATATATTGTGATGGTCCATGATATTATTTTTACAAAAATATATCGGTTATTCGGTTATTGTTACATCCCTAGTCACGACCAAATAGCAGCAATTGGTTAAATAAAAAAGTACCCGCCTACTGTCAAGCGAACGAATCCTAATGCTGCGAGGTCAGACGATTTCCATGAAGTAAAACCGGCTGATCAATCAGGCTACTTCCAGTTAATCGGAGATCCCATTCATATCAATGGAGAATTTGGAAAACATTTTGCATCTCAAATATAACATAAAGTCGATTCATTTGTGTAAAATATTCAGTGTTCATGTGCATCAACAAGTCACACTGCACAGATTCTCTAGGGGTCCATACTGAACTTATATGCTGAAAAGATTGGAAGCCCCACACAAAATAATACAACCCGAATAATGATGGTGGCTCTCACGGCAACTTCCGGAATAAGGTGAATAGGCAGCGGTATTTCATTTAAGAACTCACCTGTACTTCTCTTCTTTTCTTCTTAACTTTTTTTTTTTTTTTTGCACAAACTGTCACTTAACTAATGCAAAACTCTGATAAATGTTTAGCACAGGTACTACCCCACCAACCCAAGTGATAATCAGAAAAACAACAAAAAAACCTGTCATGTGCAATTTAAACAGCTCATATATGCACTATTTTCTAATCTATAATGTTGCTATAATGGTGTTTCCTCATCAAAAACATACTTGGAGTTGTGTTTTGTTTCATTCACACGTGGTTGAGTTCTTCTCTCAAACAGAAAACTGTGCTCCACTGTGTTTTTAAACGCCGTACACCCTCACAAGAATCATTTTGAGTATTTCAGCTCTTGAATTTCCAATCTCTGCTGAACAAAAAACATAAAATGTAGCTGTTAACTTGAAAACTACTGCTTCACGACACGACTAATAATAAAAGATGACTCAAACATGTGTGAATGACTCTAAACACAACTCCCGGTATGTTGTTTTATTTAATTTTAACATGGTTTAAAGCTCACCAGAGTCAATTTTGCATGATATAGGACCTTTAAAGCCTATTTTTAAGTGTTACTACTCACAGAGCCACATCCACTATGCACCACTGTTTTATAGCACTATTGTTAATTGGGATACACTGTGTTTTACTGCTCTATAGTCTCCCCATTCATTGAGCCCTGAGGATAAGAAGTCTTCCTTGCTGGTACCACTCCTATCACTTAATTACATGTAAAAGTAGGCTACAGCTACATGATCTAACCACCCCCCACTCCATCCATCATCATCAACCCGTGAGTTTTCATTACTTCTGATCTTGGAGACAATCAGATATGGATGACATTTATGTTTTGGTTCTTCTCAAGGCTTAAAAAAATCAGGCCAACTAATAAATTACAGCAAAGCCGGGGGGATTTCTGTAAAATACTCAAGAATATTGGGGGAATTCCTATTTAGGCAGCATTTTTCTAGGTCTACAATACACATGCTACAGGCTGCTCTATCTGGAAATCATTAGTTTTGCAGGTAGAACTCCAAAGATTTCAGATAATATAGGAAAGATAGAGCCTCCAGTAAACTTCAAAGTGCATTGCAATAACAGGTTAAAAAGATGAAAAGATGATAAATAACGACAGATAATGCATGTATAAACAGATCATCTTGAGATATGAGAGTATAGTGGAGTAGAGGAGAAGAAAGGGTGATTTTTAACACACGTCGGCTCAAAGCTCTATCTCAATCCAAGTGTCAGGCAACAGTGTAAAAACGGCGTGTACGTACGGTTTACGTGGGAATCCTGGACGCTCCGGGAAACTGTTACGAGTTTTTATCCAGGTGAAGCTGCGAAGAGTCCAGATTTGTGTCCAAAATCTCGGTACAGTCCAGTGGAGGTTTTTTTTTTCCAGACTTCAGACGTGTGTGTGGACCGTAGTGTGGATGAAACGACGAGAAGAGAAAAGGGGCGGGATCAGAACCTTTGGAGACCGAGTTCGACCAATCAGTGACCACTACAGCAGTCACTGAGTTCAGACAGCCAATCACAGCCCGAGGCCCACACACAAGTCAGCGCTGATTGGCTGGTATAGAAAAAGAAAATTGGGCACAGAACCAGGAGAAAATCTCACACAACTAAACAGTTTTTTAGTATGCAATGAATTAAATTAAATTAAATCTTAATAGCACAAAAAAGATACAATTATACACAAATGTTGGCTGGTTAAAATCATCTCAAATAATTTCTGGAGCTTACAGTAGCCTAATGCAATTTACACTGGTTGTCTGGGACTGACTGTTTAAAGTTTAGGACATTTTCCATCTTTCTTATTCAGATACATAAAAAAGAATCCAAACACAAGGCAGGGCAGGAGGCTCCCAGTGACAAAAAGTGTGACTGTGTCGCCCTCTGATGGCAGAGACCACAGACCAATGTTCATAACGTTCACGTAGAATAATAAATACCTTACTGGAATCGGAAAGAAAATATAAAATTATATATACAGTTTAGGATTTATTGCATAATCATATAATTGCAGTAATGTCTTTGAAGTCCCACAGTCATCCAGGCAGGTGAAGACAGATTTTAAAACAAGTAATCTTTTCATAGTTTTAAAACTTTCCACGTTTCTATTCGGCTTGAGGACACAAAATAATAATATGAAGTTTTTTTTTTTGTTTTTAAAAAATATATTATTATTATTATTATTATTATTATTATTATTATATTATTATTATTATTATTATTATACACAACTGGGTGCATAAACTTGACACAACAAACATGGCTGTGTGTCTTCAGCAGTTACATGTTGGGATGAGGGAACATAAACACATCATATTATATAGAAACAATACAATAGAAAAAAAAAAAAGTGCATTTAGGAAGAGAAAAGGATAATAGCAAGGGAAGTAGAGTTCATTCAGCCTGAGTTCATAAAGTCCAGGGGTATTTCACACATGTAGGAGTCAGTGTTGGGAAGGTTACTTTTAAAATGTATTCCCCTACAGATTACAGATTACATACCCCAAAATGTAGTTTGTAAAGTAATCCATTAAATTACTTAAAGTGAGTAACGTAATCTGAATACTTTGGATTACTTGATTTGCTGTACAGAAGCAAAGACTAAAGATATCGCAACATAAGATGTTTTGTTTGCTAAAAGAAAATAAAAAGCCCAGATTTTACTCAACTGTATTAAAAATATTATTGATAGAAGAGGAGGAGACACGCCCACACAGCATGATTTAGTCCTGTTAACTCCTGTTTTAGTCCTGTTTTAGTCCTGGTTTAGATCTGGTTTAGTCCTGGGTTTAGACCTGGTTTAGACCTGATTTAGACCTGGTTTAGATCTAGTTTAGCTCTAGTTTAGATCTAGTTTAGACCTGGTTTTAGTCCTGGTTTTAGTCCTGGTTTAGGCCTGGTTTAGATCTAGTTTAGATCTAGTTTAGACCTGGTTTTAGTCCTGGTTTAGATCTAGTTTAGACCTGGTTTTAGTCCTGGTTTAGACCTTGTTTAGATCTAGTTTAGACCTGGTTTAGTTTCCAGCAATGAGTAGAATTACCTAGAAAAAAAAAAGGAGGGGGGATATAGCCCAAAATGTGAAAACAGGAAAATACTTCCATGTAATCCATTTATTTCAACAAAGTAACTGTAATCCAATTACCACTCACTGAAACAGTAACTGTAACTGAATACAGTTACTCATAATTTGTACTCTGATTACGTAACTCCGGTACATGTAATCCGTAACTCCTCAACACTGGTAGGAGTACACTTTTTGAGGTTTAGGTTCTTTCATGTATTTCAGAGCTTTTATATATAATTTGAGTTGAGAGATAATATAAAGTTTTATTGCTGAATGACGCACGCATGCGCAGGAGTTGTATTTTGAAGCGGCCAAACCGGATGTTGCACTTGTTCCTGTCGGTAATGCTAATGCTAAGGCTAGCGGATCGTGCATCAGAAACACAACACACACGAACAGGTAAAGGCTCGATGTTTTTCTCAAAGACGCGGCTGTTTTGTTACGACACGATCACCGCGGCTACTCGGCGGACTGGGAGGTGTCCGGTCGCCTCGCAGACTGAGCGGCTGTTGAGTTTGTGGCTTTTAAAAGTTGTAGATTTGACGAAGTAAAGTTCCGTTTAACCGATCGCCACATTGTAGCTTAGCATTTAGCACGAGATTAGCTCCGCGGCTGTGGATATTGTCATGTTTTATTTGTTGATGTGTTCCCGTGCGCAATGAAGAAAACAAAACCCCTGTGATGGTGTGTGAGCGCGCTGTCAGAAGAGGGTTTGTGTTTTAAAGACAGGAAATGTTGTTGTTGTGCTGTTAGCTCTGCGGCTAATGTTCGCAGAAGAAGAACCTGTCCGCGCCGCTGCTTTTTGAAGAGAACATGAAACCACCGCCGAACCACGATGTGCTCTCACTTTAACCCCGAACCGCCTCTTCAGACTTCACGTGTTTACGGCTGTGAATGTCCTCAGACCTGCGCGGATGTGAACACGAGATGAAAGTTAGATCAGATCACAGAGGTTAAGAGCTGATGTCCTTTGCTCAACTTTTTACAGAGTTGACATGAGGTCGTTCTTTCTTACCTGGGTTTCTGCCTCAGTGCACTTAACTGCTCTTTAGGGCCTCTCCCCACTTGTACAATCAGTGCTGGGAAGGTGACTTTTAAAATGTATTCCCCTACAGATTACATACCCCAAAATGTAGCTGGTAAAGTAATCCATTAAATTACTTAAAGTGAGTAATGTAATCTGAATATTTTGGATTACTTGATTTGCTGTACAGAAGCAAAGACTAAAGATATCGCAACATAAGATGTTTTGTTTGCTAAAAGAAAATAAAAAGGCCAGACTTTACTGAACCATATTAAAAATATTATTGATAGAAGAGGAGAAGACACGTCCACGCAGCATGTTTTAGTCCTGTTTTAGACCTGGTTTTAGACCTGCTTTAGATCTAGTTTCGACCTGCTTTAGACCTAGTTTAGATCTAGTTTAGTCCTGGTTTAGTTCTGGTTTTAGACTTGGTTTAAACCTGGTTTAGATCTAGTTTAGACCTGGTTTTGGTCCTGTTTTAGTCCTGGTTTTAGACCTGTTTTAGTCCTGGTTTAGTCCTGGTTTTTAGTCCTGGTTTAGATCTAGTTTAGACCTTGTTTTAGTCCTGGTTTTAGTCCTGGTTTAGACCTGGTTTAGACCTTGTTTAGATCTAGTTTAGACCTGGTTTAGTTTCCAGCAATGAGTGGAATTACAAAAAAAAAATAGCCCAAAATGTGAAAACAGGAAAATACCTCCATGTAATCCATTTATTTCAACAAAGTAACTGTAAGCCGTACTGTAACTGTAGCCGAATACAGTTACTCATAATTTGTACTCTGATTATGTAACTCCGGTACATGTAATCTTTTACTCCCCAACACTGATTACAATTCAATAGTTTCAGTCTCGTGTGAGCTGTGACATGTTTTTTTATTCACAGTTGGTAGTTTAGTCTGATGTTTGGGCTCAGTGTGGTGAGAGTGTGACCATGTGCTTATGTACACATTCATCTAGATAAGATTAAAGTAGCTGCTTAGGTCAGTACATATGATTTTTAATGGTTTCAAGGAGAAGAAATGCTCTTAGTCATGTTCTATCACAAATAACGACTGGAATCGATCGATTAAAATCACAAAGAATTTACTCCCTATTCAATACAATACAATTCTAATACAGAGCTCTGGGTCAAATTGCTGCCCCTGACGGCCTACATCTACACAGATCTCAACGCCTGTGTTTCCCTCAACCCAGAAATATATAAATTTAATAAAAATAACAAAATTGGAGTGCTACACTAGATCAAAAAACTTACGCGTACAGGTGCTCATCAAACCGGAGGGCTTAGATTCTCGTAAATTTATATCAATTCAGTGTTTAATATGCACATGTGATGTGCTCAAGAAACTTCACCACTCGATACAGCCTTCAGTGCCAGCTTTGGTTTGTGCATTTCCCTGTTTTATACATTATTTTTAAAGGCACATTGTTTGGCACGACTATTTAGAATGGAAGTTCTCCCTGTTAAATGTCACAGTGACTTCTCCTTTATTCATAGGTATAAAGTGGTTGATATAACTCAAACACAACAAGACTCCAGGCACTCCCAAAGAAGTAAAAAAAAAGTAAAAAATCTCATGAGGAAAAATTTGTAAAAGGCCTTTATTTAAATGGCCAAAGCCAACATGTTTCTTCAGGGCTTTCTTCTTTCTGGTTGATATAACAATTTTACATGTTTTACTAGCACATAATCTGTGTTTTTGTTTTTTGTCTTCTTTTGTTGTCTCCTTTTGTAGGCCTTTTGTGTGTACATTGTGTGTACATTGTAAACTGTTAATAAATTGTAAATAGATTAAATTAGTAAATTAATTAGTACACTAGTAAATTGTCTTTTATATTTAGAAAAAGCCTAAATAAATCATACATAAAGAAAAAAAAATCACAGTGGCTGATCAAGATTACAGTTTCTTAGTTTGTCTTTCAAAATCTATTGTGATGTGTGCTGTATTACTGGTTGGGTAACGTCAAAGTTCACCTCGTTCTTTTCCAGTCGGCTCTCGCTGTAGCTCAGCTTTAACTTTACACTTTCGGCCACTTCAAATGTCACGGTTGAGCTGATTATTACGTTCGCTTGCCGTAAAAAAATAAACACAACGCGCTGTTCCTCAAGAGATCTGATTAGGCGCTGCTGGGTTCAGTGACGTAACTGACGTGACCTTGAGCCTCGTGCGACACACGCGGTCCACATCTGTCTCCTGCTCCTTTTAAGTGGCAGACGCGTGTGTTTCATAATTAACAAAGACCAAACTGTCAGCCGTCCTCGTGAGACAGAGAGATTCTAGGGCTGGTTGTAAACAATTTTGTGATCTCTAGAGGCAGCAAACCTATTAAATAAACACTCTAACCTTTATTCCTATTGTGTTATTTCCAAATGAGTTACGTTTTATTTATTTATTTATTTTTGCAACTTAATTTGCAACTTTTATTTGCTTTTTAACAGAAAAGAAAAAGCAACAACATAAAACAATAGAGAACATGAGGTATTGGGAGGATTAGTATTACCAGTGCAAAGAAAAGTATATGGTGACCAGCATTATAATTTCAGTGTCATAAAATATGATTCAAATTCCACAGCTCCTAAATGTAATCCACTTCACCCAGAGCTTCATAAATTTTGAGACCTTCAATCTAATGTTATAAGTTAACTTTTCCATGAGGTGAATATTCTCTACGATGTTTATCCATTGTCGTTGATTCGGAGCAACCGGGTTAAGCCAGAGTTTTGTAATTGCCTTTCTAGCTACTGTGCGTTTTGTTTAATTTATTGTACTCTAGCTCTACTGTGTCCAAGTAATTTTGTTAATTGATCAGTAAAGTTAAATCTCCTGTAGCACGTTGTTAATGTTACTGTATGTTGGGCCTCTTATCAGCCGCAGTAGCTTCTGGGAAGTTCATTCTTCTAAGTAAATCGTACAAATTTGAATTTTTTTTGAATATTATACAGTGACTTGCAAATAATTTCAGTCCAAGTGGGTTTATACGCTGTGGCTTTATTTGGATATGAAGCTTATTTTTTGCTTGATTTTTGTTTTTTTAAGCTTATTTTGCTAGAGTTTGCTTGTTTTTTTGTTTTTTAAGCTTAATTTGCTAGAGTTTGCTCATTTTGTTTTGTTTTTAAGATCCTAATATTGACTTTTATCTTCTCTGTGTTCTAGATATTGTAACCTTTGACCTGTTCAAATGGAGACCGCTACAGTCTGTGAGCTGGACGTGGCCACGAGGAGGATTGTGGGAGGCAGCGATTCTCCCCCTGAACTGGACAGCCCTTGTCAAGTAAACTGAAACTAATCCAATTGTATTTTAATGTTGCATAAGACTTTTACATGCCAGAGTTTCCTACATTTATTTACTTATATTTTATTACTTATTTTTCTATTTTATTTTGACTTGTACAGTTACATTTATATAATTATGACTTATTTGACACTAGCCTCTTTCTGTCCTTTTTGCTACTTATTTAGATTTTATTATTACAGTTTATATGTTTTATATTTTATGCGTGAGCTACTGTGTCCAAATAATTTCCCGTGTGGAGCTATAAAGTTTGTTTGAGTCTAATGTTGCGTAAGACTTTTACACACCTGAGGTTCCTACATTTATTTAACACAGTGGCTCTCGAACTACGGAACAAAAGGTTCTGTAATGTGAATTTTCCTGCAGGTTTAGTTTATAATCCTCCTTATTGTCTTTGTTTGGGATACACTGTGGCCATGGTGACGTAGTCTTAAGTTAAACCTGCCTTAGCCCTGGTTTGTCGGAAAGCAACATATTTTTTTAGGTAGTACTTTGTGTATGAGGTTTTGGCAGATTTGGTTTTAAATTGTTGATCAGTTTTCGAGTCAAGTCATGCCTAAATTTCCCTATATGTTGAACTGACCTCTTCCTGAAAACCATCTCATTTCTTCTAAAGCATGTTCATTATGTATTACCGATCAGTTGCAATGTTTTGTTTTGTTGTTTTAAGGAGGTGGAGACCGACTTTGGTTCCTGTTGCGCCGAGGAGGAGCGAGGGGAGACTCCAGGCCGAGAGGACAGTCCCACAGAGCTCGGAGAAACGGAGCTGGACCCCGGAGGTGTGAAAGATTATTTTAGTAACATTAGACCTGACATTAGAAGGAAGCACCGCGGGTCTTCAACCTTTTTTTTCACCCAGAGAGCTACTTTTACAAAACAAAAATGGCAGGGAGTTGTTACTGTCAACAGTCCAAAGAAATTGAGTTGAGGTAAATGTTACATAGCCTTAGAGGAGGACAGTTGGATTCCCATAAAACATGAACTATTATAAATGTATTAGTGCACAAAGTTGGCATCTTAAGTAAACATATATAATGGTTATAGACATTTAACAAATCAAATTTATTATGTTAGTTTATTTTAATGAACATCTGCAACAATTAGAGTGTAAATATGCCGCATTATGCTAATTTCCATCTGTTGTCCCTCGGCACGTTACAAAGAAGGCAATTACAAAACCAAAAAATTAATTATTGTGCGAAATATGTTTGTTCCTTTGGGTAAGTAATTGGAATGGGGTGGAGAGCTACTAAGAGAATAATTAGTATTTCTGCACTAATATTTCTCAACTGCCTTTCCAAAGAACTGCGTACTGAAGCGGTACTTTTATCCGAGGAAATGTTAAACTGTGGTGTCTGTTTCTGTTGAATCTTGTGCACTGAGTGTGTCTGTGTCATGTTTGTGGTTGCAGGGAAGGAGGTCGTCTTGTTGATGCAGGCGCTGAACTCTCTGGACACTCCTGAAGAGAAACTCGCTGCTTTGTGCAAGAAGTACGCAGATCTGGTGAGACTCGGTTTTATTTTTTTGTATTAGCTGTTCTGTCGTGCTCAAAATAAGTAATCGGTCAATAAAAAACACACACAAAAATAACTAAAGTGAAGATTTTGACACGTCTCAATCCATGGTTTGAGATTAATATTTTGCTTTGAAAATAACCCTTTATTTATACATGAATCATAACAACAAAAATCTATATAAGAATTTAGTTCCAAAGTAGTTTGTTGGTTGCCAGTGTCATATTGACATAATGATTAAAACTATTGATTAAAAGTATGTTTTTATAGAGAAAAATAATGTTATTTTTGTTTAATAATACAAAACTAAACATGATGAATGAAAGCAGAAGCTAGATCCAAGTTCCCACTTTTTAATCCCTGAGCCCCAAAGCCGTAAACAAACTAACTCAAGGAATACAGCTGAAGAAATGCAGTACGAATTATAATCAGTTAAAAATTAGACTGAAAATTAGCATGACATTTTAAAGTATTATTTGACAAAATCTGACCTAAAACAAAAACATAATTTTAGTTTAAGATTAAAACAAATTTAAAGTTTAAAAAAGTGTATTCAAAGTGAACAGTGGTCTGTGCTGTTAGTTACTGAGTGTTTGTGTTGTTTGTGTCGTGTGCAGCTGGAGGAGAGCCGGTCGATGCAGAAGCGTCTGAAGGCTCTGCAGAAGAAACAGGCTCAGATCGTGAAGGAGAAGATCCACCTTCAGGCCGAGCACAGTAAGGCCATCCTCGCTCGCAGCAAACTGGAGAGTCTGTGCAGGGAGCAGCAGAGGCACAACAAGACGCTCAAGGTACAGAACACGATACGGAGAGGGTCTGTAAAGAGGCTGTCCGTGATAGTTTCTATGTAATAAAGTAATGCAACAGTACAGCTATATTGTAAAAATGTTTATAATCAGTGAACCAAGAAGTGCACTGTTGGCATGACAAAACTATGCACTGATCTCTGAAAGTTATGAAATGTGCTTTTAAACTTACTGTGATGAATAATCAGGATGTAAGGACATTTTTTAAAACAATAAAAGTCAAGTAGAGTGCCTTGTTTGGCGCCATGTTTGGTGGTTTCCTGTTGAAATAGAGTTAGGACTTGGATTGGGGACCTAACCTTGTAAAAAAAAAAAAAAAAAAAAAAAATGAGGTTACCTTGTTGTGACTTTGCTGTGGAATTTAGTGCTATATTTGTCACAGAGGCCGTTTTGCAGAGGACAGTATCACAGCATCAGTCCAAATAGTCACACTTCTTTAATGTAAAAAGCCAGTAAGATTATTATTTGAAGTTGATCAAATAAAACTTGAGCTATTGTCCAATAATCTTAAGAGATAATAGCATTGCTGGTTTTCAGAAGACATCACAAAATTATATAGGGCAATACAGTTTTACTATAGATGGGAGACTAAAATTATTATAGTTAAAATGCAGTTTTTGTTGTTGCTCTAGGGTCTAGTCTGAAATAAAAATGATCAGGTTCACCATTTCAAAAGCTACCTTCTGAATTTTGGAGAGTTGTATACGATGTAATTAACAAAAACAAGGAAAACTGCTCTGTGCCTCCTTTTGGCAGAATAATAAAATGACATTCTAGGTCTGAAAATATATTCACGTCACATTCACATGCTCTTGTTCTTAGGAGGAGAATGCGCAGCGGTCGCGGGAGTACGACGAGCAGAGGAAAGAGGCCATGCTGCACTTCCAGTCCACGCTCAGCGACATCGAGGCGCAGATGGAAACGCACAGCTCCAGAAACGCCAAACTCCGACAGGAAAACATGGAGCTGGTGGAGAAACTCAAGAAACTCATCGAACAGTACGAGCTCAGAGAGGAGGTACAACCGAGTACACGAGACTACTGTTCAGATGTGATGGGATAACATTTAAAAGGGCCCATTATTTTTGCCTTCAGCTCGAGGGCAGCTAAGAATTCTGAACTATTCATAGGTGACATTTTGAGGAATCCATTAGCCATAATTAAAAAGATAATATTTTGCTTAATTCTGTCTACAGCTAATTTTCTGTCCGTAAAAGCAGCTAGTATGAAGCAAAGTTCAGACTTAAGCAGACAAACTATGACTACTCTATTTTCCGCACTATTAGGAGCTCTGGATTAGAGGGCGCACTGTTATTAAATGGTCTACTTTCAAACCTTTTTCACAAATAAACCACACCGGAAACAGTTGGATGGGTCAGTGGGACTTTGTTTGTGGCGTTCACAGTGACTCTGGGCTTTGTTCAGTTGTGGCGTGTAGGGAGGGTGCTGTCTGGGACCACTGGATTGTCGGCGTGTTCGCAGTGACTCAGTTCAATTGTGTCTAGAAGTGGCACGTTGCACTCGCTTTTTAGGTTTGTTCCTCCGTTTCATTCCTCGTCGGTGTGGAGTGGTGAGTGTGTCTGTGGGCGTGTTTCGCTGTGCGGTCGCTGTCTGCTCCATGTGTTTGCGTGCGCTGCGGGTGGTGCGGCTTTGTAGTTTACTGAAGTCGTGTTGGGACACCTGAGTGGATTCGTGTATAGGGCGCTCTGGGTTGTGGGGCACGCAGTCGTTTTTTGATGGGGTTAGAGCAGGGGTGCCAAACTCATTTTGGTCCGGGGGCCGTATCCAACCTACTTTGATCCCAAAGGGGCCGGATCAGAAAACTCATGGCATATAAACCCCAAAAATAACAATAAGTTGAAATATTTGTGCAGAGAAACAAATTGATGAACTCTTTCTTATTATAATATTATAATATTATGAACAACCTGAAACTTTAAGAAAAATTCAATTTCAACACAATGTTTTAACATGAACTTGTATGCAAATAAGAATAAGTCCATTTATCTTGAAAAATCCTGCATTCGGAGTCCGCTTTTCTCATTTTTGACATTTTGCTGATGAGTGTGTCACGGTCAACAGTCAAAACGATCGTCCTTTAAGAGCGTTTGGAAAGAGGCAAGTCTTCATTTGTGCTGCTCTGGTGTGAGGGGCCACGTACAGAGACGCTGGAGACGCTGCTGTGATAAACACCACAGAAAATTAACAATATTTTAATATAAAATATAATAAAAATATTTTAGTAGAAAATCAGCCAAGGGCCAGATTAAAGGTCTTGGAGGGCCGGATCTGGCCCCCGGGCCGTATGTTTGACACCTGTGGGTTAGAGGCTTATGAGCGTGCCCTATAGTGTGGAAAATACAGTATTTTTGTATTAAAGCTTCTTTATGTTCATAAACTAAATATTGAATATCAAATCAAAAATCAGTGTAGATCAGTTTGAGGATTTGCCATATCACCCAATTTTATTTTAAAGAGTCCATACATTCAAATTGAGGTGGAGGGCAACAAAGATTTATTTAGTTCCTATAGAGAACACTACCTTAATATTCACAGTGTCTTCTTCCTGTGACATATCTGCATCATCATTGTATTTCTATAAATTTACATTAGAGGCTGGTAAATCTGAAAAGTCCAGTTCTCTGCACTGCCTTTGAACCCCTCTGGTCCCTGCGTGACCTCTGGGGCCAAGCTGCAGTGCAACAGTAAAGTCCTGTTCATAACTGGAGTTTTCTGGATGAACCACCAGACTGCTCTTTTAAATACAAGACACAAGCTCAACCTATACAATGTTTTTTATGCTTATGGTTAATATATTTGTAATAACTGTCCCAGTTAGTAAATCCAAAGTTCAACGTCCTTCTGTTATCCCTAAGAGGAAATACTTACCAATGTTTACTCACAGAAGAATTTAAACATGGGCTCCATTCAATCACAGTAGAAACTTTTAAGGCATAAGATTACTGTGCACTCTAACTTTTCTGATGGCGGTAACGCTGTAATGCCATACTGCGGAACAATAACCTCTCCTTGTAGACAAGCAGGCAGCAGAACCCTACCAGAAAAATGACGGCGCTCTTGTAATATGTAAAGTTAATGGACTTTAGCGTTCATTTTAAAGTGATGTATTGCCCAAATAGACTTAAAGGCCACTTCCCTCCATCTGAGATTTTGCCATCAACTTGAAATATTAATGACGTATCCCTCTGATTACTCTAATTACCGTAAATATATTCATGTTTTCCGTGGCTTAGCTGAGTGTCCCCCTCTCTCCCTCTCTCTTTCTCTTTCTCTTTCTCTCTCTCCTGCAGCACATGGACAAAGTGTTCAAGCACAAGGAACTCCAACAGCAGCTGATGGACGCCAAGCTCCAGAGAATCACCGAGATGATGAAGGAGGTGGAGGAGAAGCAGCAGAGGGAGCGAGAGATGGTACCAGCACATATACATATAATATTAAAGCTGCATTGTGTAACTTTTGTGGTGGTGGGGCGTCACCTGCTTATTTCTATGGATATGTCATTTCTCTGCTTGGAATTTTCCACAATTGCCACGTTTACATGAGAGCTTTAATTCCGAATAAAAATAATTGAAAAAGACCACGTAAACACTTAAAACCTAATGAAAATGATTAGTCGGAATTAAACCTAATTTCCGAAGTGGGTGGTTTATTCTGATTTTAAAGCTGAATTATTTTATTCCTCGATCATATAAACGTTTATTCTTCTTAAAAATTATTCCGGTCGTTCAGCGCATGCTCGTTGTGTCGCCCTTCTGACATGATCCAGCTCCACCAGTCCTGGCGTCAGACTTTCATCCACGTCTCTTTGGATTTGCGAGCGGGAGGCGGGAGTGGGCTGAGCTGACAGACGTAAAGTGTGATGACAGAATTCTCCAGCTGCTGCTTATTTATCATCGGAATGACTGAGAAAAAAGTTTGTACCATGTTTGTGTCCGAGATGACAAACCGAGATGACAAAAAAGCCGGTAGCAGCTGAAGTGTGTGTTTTCTTCCGGTCGACGTAAATACGTTCGTGTCCCTGTCCAGTCAGAACTCTTCCCCACTCCCAGACGTTGAGTGGAAGTAAATAAAGACGATTTAACGTGTTTTCCATGTAAAACTCAATTCGGAATCATTATTTCCACATAAACTCGAAGGAGAATATTTTAATTCCAAACTATTTAATTCAGAACAATTAATTCATGTAAACGTGACCAGTGTGACATTAAATGGCTCTACCTATTCTTCTGCCATTTCCTCAGTTACAGGTGGTTTTATAGCACAAAAATACCTAAGAAAATATGCATTCTGACTCTGAGCGGGGTTGCCTCTCCATAGATCTGACCTGTAACTTAGTCTCGTTTGGTTTCCATGATGCTAGAAAAGTTTACCATCATATTGCGAACCATTCCAGACAAAGTAATAACATCTCCATGGAGAAAAACATTTCACAAACCCTCCACCAGAAAAGTTACTCAGTGCACCGTTAAATAAAAGTTAAACAAAAGTTAAATAAAAGTCATGTTTTTAAATGTGACTCTACTGTTGTGCTGCAGCTGCTGAAAGACGCCACAGACTCCAGACGTAAATGTGAACAGATGAAAGAGCAGGAGATGCAGCTCAAACAGCAGGTGGGTTTAAAGGTCTTCAATATTTTATACCGCAACATTTGCAATCAGAGGTACGAGGTAATATGTATTTTAATTGGCGTTTTGGAGATGTATTATTAATAACCTGAAAAAAAGAGACGGAAACGTGTAGTGTAATCTCCTAAATGAGTGTATAAATTGATATTTCTGCACAATTGTGGTTAATTTTATGGTTTTGTACAATACTTGAATCTCAACTAAGACATTTACAGACACATTTAAGGCCATTGCTGATGCATTGTTAAAATATTGTCTGAATAGAGGCTTTGCACGTGACCCCTATAGCAACGGTACCTACGCCGCCATGACACCGGGCACGCTATGTCATTGACTTCAGCAGCATCGGAGAAACATGGGCAGGTTTTGTTGTGTATTTGGTTGTTCTAGACGCTCTGAAAGGGATAAAACGATTCATTTTTTCACTGTTCCTCTGGAAACTACTCATCAGGGAGTGAAAAAAGACAGGAATTATGGCTAGAGAACATAAACTGCGAAGAGATTTCCAATGGTACCATCAAGACACACTCACGTCACTTTCATCAAGGTATTTGCTATTTAAATTGTTTCATAGTTTATTTAATGAGAGAAGCACGTTTACTGAACAAAAATTTAAAAAGAAAACATTTGCAGTATGAGTGGCAGCAGAAACTGTATCTTCCAGCGCACATATAAACATGTCACTCGTCGTAGGACCCATGTTTTCTTTATTGCCTTGCTTATCCACAACTATGTCTTCTAGAATTAATCACTTTTTGCGAGCAGATCTTTCTAACGTTCGCGAGGATCTTTTCATGGCCGTTTCCTGGATAAATTAATGAAATTTTAGTTCAGTAAATGTGCTTCTTTCATTAAATAAGCTATGAAACAATTTAAATAGCAAATACCTTGATGAAACTTGATGGTACCATTGGAAATCTCTTCGCGGTTTATGTTCTCTAGCCATAATCCGCGTCTTTTTTTCGATAATTCCCTTGTTTGAGCTCCTGATGAGTAATTTCCAGAAGAACAGTGAAGAAACGATTCATTTTACCCCTTTCAGAGCGTCTAGAACAACCAAATACACAACAAAACCTGCCCATGTTTCTCCGATGCTGCTGAAGTCAATGACATAGCGTGCCCGGTGTCATGGCGGCGTAGGTACCGACGTGACGGTGCAAAGCCTCTATATCATTATCAAGCTTCTAAATCTAAAAGTGTGTGATATCAGGCCCACTGCTGCCATTTGAGTGACCTAAACAGAAATCCTCTCCCTTTTAGAAAGTGTAAATACATAGAGTTTACAACCTCCAGGGATAATTTCTGAAGTCCCTTTTTCAAAAAATATGTTACATCGCCAGGAATTTTTGAACAACAGTCGTATTTCCTGTGTTCTGGTGTAATATTATCTGTAGCAATTCACTGAACAGTTCCTCAAGTATTGGATCAATTAGACTCTTGACAGTGAGCCATTGGCAGCCACTTCACAGCTCTTAATCCCGCTGTACTCCGTGTGTCTCAGCTCTCTCTGTACATGGACAAGTTCGAGGAGTTTCAGACCACTCTGGCGAAAAGCAACGAAGTCTTCACCACGTTCAGACAAGAGATGGAGAAGGTACCAGTTTAAGGCCGTTTCAATACAGTTTAAGGTAACAGAAATGAAAATATAGGACTCATTTTTGCGCTTTTCATTTCAGATGACGAAGAAAATCAAGAAGCTGGAGAAGGAGACGACTCAGTGGAGGACCAAATGGGAGAGCAACAACCAGGCGCTGCTGCAGATGGCTGAAGAGGTGAACTTCACACTATTATCATCTGTTTAAATCAGTTTATTTAATTTTTTTTAATCAACATACACCACCAGTCAAAAGTTTGGACACACGCTCTCGTTCAGTGTTTTTTTTTTTTTTTTTTTATTTTTTTTTATTACTTTTTACATTTTAGATACTTACGAAAGACATCAAATATATGAAGTATATACTAGTCCATTAAAAAAAAAAATTAATAGTAATAGAACAGAAAAGTATATATATATGTATACATTTTTTTTTTTTTGTCTCTTGTCTGCAAAGAAAACAAAAATCTAAATAAAAAAAGAAAAAAAAAGTCTACCAAAAAAAAAGAATAAATAAAAATAGAATCATGAAAAAGTCCATAATTTTTGTCAGTTCTTTCAGAAAGTCAAATCCATGTATCATATTGATTCATTACGCTTAGAATTAAACTTTCAACCCTTTATTTCTTGAAATTTTGATGATTATGGCTTACAGATAATAAAAACATTAAATTCAGTGTCAGAAAATTAGACTTAGATTTAGAAAACTTTATAGATCCATAAAGGAAATTACTTGGACACAGTAGTTCACACATCACATAATATTACAATAACAGAGAAAAAAAAAGTATAAACATGGTAATAAAACTTTCTAAATAAGTAGTAATAAAAAACAGCAAGAGACTGGTGTTAAACAAGACATAATTTTGTATGTACAAGTAAATAAAAAACAGAAATATTGTAATGCTAATATAAATACAGTATATCACAGTGATATACAAGAGTTTGTTATTAGAATATTACATAAGATCCTGGTTTGGCATGAATCACGGCATTGGTTTACCGTGGCATGATTTTAACTTCCTGAAATCAGAGACAAAAAATATTGGACTTCTATTTGGATATTCTATTTATTCATGTATTTATTTTAGGTAGACTAGTTTTTTTGTTTTTAGATTTTTGTTATCTTTGCAAAAAAGAGACAAAACAAGAAATTAGATTACAGTATTTTACAGACGATTAGGCGCTCTGGATTATAAAACGCACTGTCATTAAATGGTCTATTTTCGAACTTTTTTCACAAATAAACCGCACCGGACTTTAAACGAAACACAACAGTTGGATGGGGTCAGTGGGACTTTGTTTGTCACGTTCACGGTGACTCTGGGGTTTGTTCAGTTGTGGCGCGCATGGACAGTGTTGGGAAGGTGACTTTTAAAATGTATTCCCCTACAGATTACAGATTACACACCCCAAAATTTAGTTTGTAAAGTAATCCATTAAATTACTTGAAGTGAGTAAGGTAATCTGAATACTTTAGATTACTTGATTTTCTGTGGAGAAGCAAAGACGAGGAAATCTTCACATAAGATAAAATAAAATAAAAAGCCCAGACTTTACTTAACTGTATTAAAAATATTATTGATAGAAGAAGAGGAGACACGGTCCACGCAGCATGGTTTAGTCCTGTTTAATCCTGGTTTAGTCCTGTTTTAGTCCTGGTTTAGATCTAGTTTAGGCCTGGTTTAGACCTGGTTTTAGACCTGGTTTTAGACCTGGTTTTAGACCTGGTTTTAGTCCTGGTTTTAGTCCTGGTTTAGATCTAGTTTAGACCTGGTTTCAGACCTGGGTTTAGTCCTGGTTTTACTCCTGGTTTAGATCTAGTTTAGACGTGGTTTTAGACCTGGTTTAGACCTGGTTTAGTCCTGGTTTTACTCCTAGTTTAGATCTAGTTTAGACCTGGTTTTAGACCTGGTTTCAGACCTGGGTTTAGTCCTGGTTTAGTCCTGGTTTAGATCTAGTGTAGACCTGGTTTTAGACCTGGTTTCAGACCTAGGTTTAGTCCTGGTTTTACTCCTGGTTTAGATCTAGTTTAGACGTGGTTTTAGACCTGGTTTAGACCTGGTTTAGTCCTGGTTTTACTCCTAGTTTAGACCTGGTTTTAGACCTGGTTTCAGACCTGGGTTTAGTCCTGGTTTAGTCCTGGTTTAGCCCAAAATGTGAAAACAGGAAAATACCTCCATGTAATCCATTTATTTCAACAAAGTAACTGTAATCCAATTACCACTCACTGAAACAGTAACTGTAACTGAATACAGTTACTCATAATTTGTACTCTGATTATGTAACTCCGGTACATGTAATCTGTTACTCCCCAACACTGCGTATGGAGGGTGCTGTCTGGGAGCGCTGGATCGGTTGCGATGACTCAGTTGTTCAGTCGTGTCTAGAAGTGGCACATTGCACTCGCTTTTTCAGTTCGTTCCTTCGTTTCGTTCCTCGTCGGTGTGGAGTGATGAGTGTGTGTAGGTGTTTTTCGCTGTGCGGTCGCTGTCTGCTCCGTGTGTGTTTGCGTGCGCTGTGGGTGGTGCGGCTTTATAGTTTACTGAAGTCGTGCTGGGACACCCGTGTATGGGATTCGTGTATAGAACGCTCTGGATTGTGGGGCACACTGTCATTTTTTGATGCAGTTAGAGGCTTAAGACCCGGAAAATACTGTATACACATATATTAGGTAGACTAGTATATGGAATTATGTAGCAAAGAAAAAAAAAAGTTGAAATATAATATATGTTTCGCTTCATATATTTGATGTCTTTGATGTCTGTGTTTCTAAAATGTAGAAAGTAGTAAAAAAAATAAAATAAAACATTGTTGATAGTGTGTGTCTAAATGTTTGACTGGTCGTATATGTCGATTCATGATTATTTAGAAGTTTTTAAACACGTTTTGAGGGATTCGCGGGTCTTATTTTGGTTGTTTGGACTTTGCTTTGAGGAGTAAGAATAGAAAAGCTGACAGAAGGAGATTTGTACCATTTAAAAATATTGTGAAACACTTTGGGTAAATATTGCTACACTCAAGTTTGGAATGTGAAAGAAAAAAAAAAAAACGAGGATAAGATGGTTGCAGCAGTTCAGTCTTGATTGTGTAATTAGCTGAAAAATAAATCTAATAAACATAAAGTAGTCTGTGGAAACAAGATGTATAGATCAAGGCTGCTTATGTCACACAAATGGTTATGTTTCATTCACATTTTGCTGTAGACTTTACACATTTTTATATTTCCAATAGGTCTATAACTGTCTAATGCAACAACAGTAAACGTCATTACTGTAAATAAGGGCCAAAGCTCGATTAATTTACACAGGAGTTATTTAAAATACAACAACATCAAAATCCCTCAATATAATGTCTTACAAAACTGTGACTATGCTGCTTTGTCATTTTTAAAAGCCTTGAAAAGCATTTGGCACTGTTAAAATATGAAGAATTAAGATTGAAAACAGTTATTTCTTCATGTAGTCTGCACTGACAACAGCAAAGGATCATGGTCTATGTAGTTCTGTGCAGTTTTTTAGCGGCTGCTGCACCATGGCAAGGCAAAGTAAGTTTATTTGTGTAGCACAGTTCGTACACAAACCAATTCAAAGTGTTTACAGAATAAGAAAGGCATAAAATCACAAAGAAAGACATTAAAATCAACATAACTACTAATTTAAGCAAAGTGACTTGTAATTTGATATATTGTGATTAGGGCTGGGTATCATTAAGAAGCTGCCGATACGATACATACCTCAAAATATAGGTCATGATACAATGCATATCCCAATACAGAGAGCTTTCGATTCAATTCAATATCTTTAAAAATGATTCAATAAAAATAAAGGCTAAATCATGGCTGTGATACTAAGTCTTTGTTAAACCACTTTTTGTGCAAAGTTGAGCCCATTTTAATCATCAAAACAGTGAAAATGTCAAATGTATCGCGTAAACAAATTTAGTAAAATATACAAAAAAATACTCTTAGTGATATATCGATACAGCAGCCCATGATATCGATACTGTATTATCACAGTAAATTATATTGATATTTCGATATTTCTGCACAGCCCTAATTGTGACAGCCTCTGAGATTATTTGAGACTTTTGGCGATGCAATCACAATATTTTGGTTATTGTTACATCCCTAGCAGTTATTATCTGACAAATTAATAATAAATAAATACAACCGCGCCTTTATTTTCTTACATGAATGTTTAAACTGTCTGTGAAGTGTCCCTGTGTTTTGGATATTTGAGTGTTTTTGTCTATTGTTGACGCACACACAGGAGTTCAGAATGCAGCTCTACTTCCTGTATTTTCAAAATTTTTCTTCTTAAAATGTCATTCAACTCGTCTAAAACTATGATAAACATTCACCTGGGCACCGTCCCTCCAAACAAAGTAATAATTAGAAAAACATTAAAGAGCCTCAGAGAATTTTGACCAAGTGTTACAAAGCAAAACACGAACAGGATTTGTGACCTTCCAGGCAACTCCCATTTTGTTTTATTTATTTGTCAGTCATTTTTACTTTCTATTTCATTTTTGTAATTTAGACTGTCCATGTTTGAGGCTGGTTAATGTGTTGAGCTCCATAATTCCCGTTGTCTGCACTGCCTTTGAACCCCTCTGGTCCCTGCGTGACCTCTGGGGCCGAGCTGCAGTGCAACAGTAAAGTCCTGTTCATAACTGGAGTTTTCTGGATGAACCGCCAGACTGCTCTTTTAAATACAAGACACAAACTCAACCTATACTCTAATACTAATACCAGATGTCAAAATAAATATAGTGTGAAAATGGACTGTCACTAATACCAAACAAATGACTAGGCTCTGTTAATGTTACGTCACAAACCAGGAAGACGTTTGGAAAGATGCAATGACAACTTCCGGTGTAGTTCCCGACACTGGACTAACCCACAGACTGTGATCAAACCCACTGAAGTAAGTGTGATCAGTGGTAAAATGAAGACTGCATACATATGTGCTGTTTGGAATCATCTTGAATTTGGCGCCTCGTCTCTTCTAATCGCTTGTACCCAGTGCGTCAGTGGGGAAATGATGAAAACTGAGGTGTGGTTGTAATTGTTGATTTACCGAACATAACGGAACTCTACAATGACATGGGGATGAAGAAAACTGGGACATTTTCAAATTTTTCCTAGATTTTTTCAGACTTACTACCAAAAACAGAGCTCGCCGGATGTTGTCATTGCATGTTTTCAAACATCTTCCTCAATCCTTTGATTTCTACTTGGGGCTTTCTCATTGAACATTTAAACACTATTTGTAGGATAATTTTAGTAACTATATCGAGGCGCTGTGCACACATTTTTTTCTTAAATTTTGTATCGTCAAACTGCACTAATTAAAAAAAATTAAATTAAAAAAAGCATTGTCACCGAGCCCTAACTTAAAACAACAGGGATTTTGATTTGTTTATCAAAAAAGGAAATGCACAAATTCAAACACTGACAGACACTAGCAACAGTTGCTCAGTTGGTAGTGTTTTGTCCACTGATCTGAATGTCTGTGGTTCGAAACCCGCTCTCAACATAAAATCATCGGTCGAGTGATCAGATCCACTGACCCACAGGTTGGCGGTGCGATTCTAGCGCCGACAGATGAATAGTAAATGGTCACATTTTTATTTAGCGCTTTTCCACCTTCAAGACTCAAAGCTCTTTACAACAAGGAACCACTCACCCATTCACACACCAGTGTACAAAGACACTGGGGGCGAGGTGGGTTAAGTGTCTTGCCAAAGGACAGCATTCATCTGTGGGAGCTGGAATCGCACCGCCAACCTGTGGGTCAGTGGATTTGACCGCTCAAACCAAAATGTTTTATGGCCTTCAAATCAGTGGACAAACACTCTACTGCTGCCTACTTACTACTACTACACTCTACTGCTGCCCCGAATGCTGTCGTTGTGTCCTTGGGCAAGACACTTAACCCACCTGGCCACCAGTGTCTGCCTATACAGGTGTCTGTATGTGTGTGTGAACGGGTGAGTGGTTCCTTGTTGGAAAAATGTACTTAGAATTTCCGCAAAGTTGATCATTCTCATGTAAATTTTGAAAACATGGTCAGTGGCTTTTTTCTGCTCTTTCTTTTAAATCTTGGGACATTACAATAAAAATGTAACTTAATTTCTTTTCTTTATTCCAGAAAACTTTACGTGACGGTCACTTCAAGGCCCTACAGGGTAAACTGGAGCTGCTGGAGCGTTTGTGTCGAGCTTTGCAAAAAGAACGGAACGACCTGAACAACCGCCTGAGCCTCCTCCAGGACCAGGACCAGGACCAGGACCAGGGAGCAGAGCCGGGGCCGGACCAGCCGACCGAAGCCCAGCCGGGGGAGCCCAACGCCGGGGACGAGCCGCAGGACGAGGAGGGCACCGGCCTGGAGATCCACCAAGCCCCTAGACCCCCAGAAACCGACGAGAGCAGGACCACGAGCACAGACGGACCGGAGGAGGAAGAGGAGGAGGAGACGTTAGCGGCTGCTGCTACGACCACAGAGGAGGAGGAGAAGGCGGCAGACTCTACGCAGGACTAGACACAAACACTCAAACATCCCCAGAGATTCATCTATTTTTTCTACTTTAAATAAATAAATATTAATGCGACACGTCATCTCTGCTCCATTTTTATCAGATGTGGTAAAAGATGCACGATTTCCGAGAAAATATTGGTTAAATCCGAGTCATATTTTGTAAAGAAATTATTAACCCCAAGTGACAAAACTCTTTTCAGTGAATTGAAGCAACATTTTTTATTTGAGTCACTAACCAAACTGAAAAAAATATATTGTTTTTCTACTTTTTGGGGTCGTTTTTGAGTTTCGAGTGTATTTTTTTACGTCATTTCTTTTAAAAGCGGAGCAAAAATGTGTTGCGTTCATACTTAAGTTTGATACGATAGGATCTATAGTCTCTTTATTTCTACCCGAATCCTTACAATAGATATAAGAACATTTTAATACATGAGTTTCATTGAGAGCACTTATTCTGTTTAATTGTATTTTCATAGGATCACAAACTTCCCCCAGTTTGATTCTTTATTCACACAAAATTCTTGCTTCACGGCCTTTAAATAATTTCCTTTAGATGATCAAACTATCAAGACGTTCTCAGACTTTTTATTAATTTATATTTATGTTTCTTTATTATTTACTTCCAGCTGTTTAAATCTTGACCAAACTGACATTAGATAAAAGTCTTGAATATCTAAAAAAAAATAAAAAAAATCATAGTACACCAGTAAATTCCGAGTTTCTTTATGTAATAATGTGCGTAAATGTTAAAAACTGATTCAGGACCAATATTTGAGTAAATTATGACTAACTTGTGTCTCGAGTTGTTGGTAAATTAAAGCTAAAGGTGCACTATGTAACTTTTCTGATGGAGAGTTACACAAATGTTCCTGTTTTGACCGGAATGTTCCACAGTGTCATTCTTCCCAGACTTGGATTTATTCAATTATAAGTGTAAAAAAAGAAAAAATACAACACATTACAGATCGGAACTTTGCCTGTTAGCGTCTGCTTGTTTCAAAATCGTTTCAAATCGTTATGTCTTGGGTTCCCACGGTCATGGAAATCCTGGAAAGTTATGGAATTTTAGTCTCTCTTTCACACAACTACAGCGTTCTGTTAGGTCAGGGGTGTCAAACTCAAATTCCCAGAGGCCAAAATTAAAAACTGGGACTAAGTCTTGGGCCAAACTAAATATTTATTGAAAAATTTTAACAACATCTGCATGTTTTCTCTTCTTTCGAAATATGGAATGTTAAACCTTTTAAAATAAATGTTTAATAATAGTTTTGGTTAGACACTGAATCCAGAACAAGCAAAATATAAAATAGTAACAAAATTTTAAATAAATAAAGTCTCTATAGTTTATCTGATTATAATTATTTCCGAACGTTTGTGCCTTTTGTTCACGCTCTCCTCGGGGTCACATACACCCAAAGAAATTTTTTTTTCCTTCAGATTGACCCGCCCCAAGAGAGCAGGAAGGGAAAAAAAAAAAAAAAAAGAGCGTGAGGGTTAAAAGAGACGACGATAAATGCACTGACAGTATTTTGAATGTTAAAAAACTATAATACTAAACCATAAGGTGAGTGGAAAGAGTTAACATTTCATATTTAGCCCTAAAAGATCAATTCTACACATGTAGGTGCCGTAAAGTCATGGAAAAATCATGGAAAACTTTTGAAATCATGTCAGTGAAAGAGAGTGGGAACCCTGAATGTCGTACTGTGGAACATTCCAGCCCAAGCAAAAACATCTCCATGCCGACGAGCAGGTGAAGCAGAAAACTCACACGGTGCACTTTTATTAAGACTTGAATATGACCTTTAAGACTTGAAATTGCACCTTTTTAATTTAAGAACCACAAATAGAGGAATGGGGCTTTGTTAATGGCTGCTCAGTTTTAATCATTTTCCCCTAGACGTAAAACACGAAGGCAGTAACTCAGTCCTGACCATAAATAATATAAATAACGTAACTAAACATGAAACTTTATAAACTTGATCAAACTTGTAGATGTATTTTCTCGTAATTCCACTTTTTGTTGTCGATTTTGGATAATCAGGATAATCATTTGTTTATTATTAAAGTCTACAGCAGGGATCTCGAACCTGTCGCTCGGGGGCTGGTATCATTAAGGAGTTGTCGATACGATACACTTTCGATATGTTTCAGTGAAAAACAAAGGCGAAATCCTGGCTCTGATACTAAAAGTCCAATAAATCTGTGCGGAGTAAACGTAGAAAAGCACCCATTTTACTCAAAACTGTAAAAATGTGAACACAACTGCAGCTCTTACACAAATAAATTTAGTAAAAAGTACCTAAAATGTCCCTTGACGATATCCATATTGTATCAGCACATTAAACGATACGATATATTGATATTTTTGCACACCTCTAGAGCTGAATAACTAAAATTGTATTAATTACCATCATTTTAATGCCCACTTTTGTGCATTAATAAATGAATAATTTAAGTTTATATTTTATAGATGTCTAACTTTCCCCAGTCTAAGGCTTTAATTTCTTGCAGCTCTTAAAATAAGTAGCTCTTTGGCGTTTTTGTTTTGTAAACGTAGCTCACCAGAAGAAAAAGGTTGGAGATTCCTGATCTACGAGACAAATTAATCAGAATTTTACTGCGATACCCAACTGATAAAGCTGATAAATTAAACTGTTTTCTGATCTGTTATACTTGTTTTTCTTATCACAAACAAACCTGGAGTTGTGTTTTGTTTCATTCACACATGTTTAACACAAAAACCCTGCATATTTGCGCCGAGTTCTTCTCTTAAACAGAAAATATTCAACGTTTCAATGTGTTTTTAAGCTCCACAAAGCTTCACTAAAATCATCTGGACGATTTCAGCTCTGGAATTCGCAATCTCTACTGAATAAAAGATAAAAAGTAGATGTTAACTTAAAGAAAACCTACTTCTTCATGAGCATTTTGAGCTTTGGAGATGTCAACAGACTAATATTAAATACTCAAACTTATGTAAATGAAACAAAACACAACTCCAGGTCTGTTTTTGAGAAGAAAACCGCATTATAACCTGACTTAAAACTCAATTTTAAGTCAATTTCCGCCATCTAGGACCTTCATATTTTCATTTCTTTTAAAGGGAATCAAGCTAATTTTATACATGCTGCTCAAAGTCTTTTTGTTTTCTGTACTCTTCTAAATCGAATCCATAAATAATAACGAATAATGACACTTTGGTTTGTGTTTAAATGTGAAATTTTCAACTTTAATAAATGTTTATTTTCATGTCATAGGAGGAGTCAGAGGAGGAGTCGGTCTTGGTTGCTTTAGTAATAATTACATTTAAAGGTCTATATTTAAAGTGAATGTATAATCATTTACGTAAGTGCTATGTTGTTTATTAATGTTGCCAGGAAAACGACATTCCTTGATTTTTATTTTAACTTTTACTTTTTTTCCCCAATTTTTAAAAGGGACAGTTCAAATTTTTGTATTCGTCAAGTGATTTACAAAGTCGATTTGTGTTTCGTCGGGGTTTGTTCGTCTTTCCATTTTCATCGCAAAAAAAAGCAATAAATTTGTGGAAATACCAGTTAAAATCCATAGATATTTTTTGACTATATGAGGAAAATTATTAAAATTTTCCAAAATTATTGACTGAACAGTGTTTGGTAAAAAAGTGAACCAAATAAAAAGTAAAAAAAATACATGTAGTGTCACCAGAACCAGAACTTTTGTGGCGGTGGGTTCGTCAAAACGCGCTTTTTTTTCCATGGAGATGTTATTGCTTTGTCTGTAATGTTACACAGTATGGCATTAAACCTTGCTATCGTCATGGAAACCAAACCAGACCAAGTTTTAGGTCAGATTTGCGGAGTGGAGAGGTTAGAATACTTGTTTTTTTGAGGTATTTTTGAGCTTTAAAACCCACTTGTAATCGAATAAATGTAACGTAGAGCTGTTTAAAGTCATACTGTGGAACATTCCAGGCAGAGCAATGACGTATCCATGGAAACAAGAACGTGACAGACCCCCAAACAAAAAGTTACACCTAAAAGGGGAGCTACAATAAGACTAAACACCTAAAAAATGGGTTAAAATTGGGTTAAAAATGTCCAATATTTAACTCGTAATGCCCCGAAAATTCGAACTGTCTCTTTAAATGTTCAAACTGGTGAAATCTCGTAAAAATTTGAATGTTATTTTCCACGTGTTTTTGCATTGTCCCAGATTAGACTCAGGTATTCTAATCTACCTCTGCAGGGGGAGGGGAACTGTGAAGGGTCACTGCAGCGTCACAATATTTTTACTACAGAGAATGAGACATGAGCCCACACCTGACTGTACTGTCATCCTGTCGTGCTTTTCAATAAACTTTTGTAGAGTTTCCATAATAAGCGTCATGTTTTATTTGGGAATTTACTGGAATATGGTGCCAAATAATTCAGCATTTAAAGGGCTGATATTAGACTTAGACTTTGGACACAATAGCTCACACATCACAATAAAATCAAATCTACAGCTTGCCACTTCCTGCCACGGCTCTTATATTTGCTAAATTTCTAACAACTGCTAAAATTAGTGGCATTTTTGCTTTACAAAAAGTAGCTCACGGGAGGAAAAAGTTTGGAGACTCCTGCATTAAATGATACAATATATTGATATTTTTGCACAGCCCTAATCTTTAACATTTCAAAATGTACGGCTGAATATCTCAACACAACTAAATGTTATTTGGTAAAAATGTTACATAGAACTCGGACTCACAAATCACTAAAAACTCACCTGTTCAATCTGATCTTCCCTCGTTCTTTTTCCTGTGTTGCTTCTGATTTGTTTGTAAAGCGTCTTTGAGTGTCCAAAAATGTGCTATATACGGTAAGTGAAATGTATTATTTATTTATTTATTAATTTTTCTTTCATTCATTTAATTTTTATTTATTTTTTATTTATTTATTTTTTTATATTTATTTATTTTGTTATTTATTATTATTTATTTATATTTATTTATTTATTTTTATTATTATTAAATCACTGATATGTTTTTTTTTTGCATAATTTATAACACTTATTAAACAGAAATATTCTTGTAGTCTAAAATGTTAACGGCAAAACATATGCCTAAGCAAGAGTGAGAATAAAAATAACCCTAAAAAGAAGTTGAGGATTCCTAAAACAGACACACAATGTATTGAAAAGTTAAAATTTTATTGCAATTTTTCTTGAAGCAAAGAACAAAACAATTCACATTATGTAACAACAGAAATGGGGGAAAAAAAACCAAAAAACTAACAAAATCGACCTGTGTGTTCTGACCTCAAGCTTCCCACTCAAAATCCAACAATACTGAAGAGATTTGTACCTGAAAACAAAGCAGCCAGGAATGTTCTAGCACCTCCACGGAAGAAAAACCACAAATGTGTAAAAATAACCGTAGATCTGAACACAAAATGCAACGTTAACGCGTATCGTTATTGTAATATTTTAGAATAACATGAGCAGGTAGTGTTCAGTTGTCAGCATAAAGTCTAGTCGTTGGGCAAATAGTCTCAACTTACAATTTTATTTCAATACATACAAGTCTTATTTATTTATTATTTTATTATTTATCGTGTTTATTTTAGTATTCATGTGCCAAAAATGTGTTTACTTATACTTTTTGGGTAGAATTGCTTTTTTTCCTTGGCCTGAAAGTCGTGTTGCGTCTTAGTAAAAGGCAACTTCAGCAATAAAATAATAAAAATTAGTCTGTTTTTTAAGTCTAAACACCTTCACAAAAGAGGAGCATTTGCTGTATTACAATAAAATGACTCTAAAATGTAACTTTACGTAGATGTTTTCGACAGAAAAACAATATTATAACATGGCTAAAAGCTCAAAAAAGCCAATTTAGCGTCACAGAAGACAGGGCTGCAACTACTTCTAACTTTTAAAATGCATTTTTTACCAAATAAAGATTTAATATTAATTTATTTATTAAGGTTAATGCAGCAAGCCACTTTAAAAATTACAATTTAGTTTTGAATACAATAAAAAGGCGACACCAGGGCCGCGTCTCATTTCTCTTTCCTTGCTTCCTTCTTAATTATTCTCCTCAATTCTGGAGGAAGAGGATATACAGTAAATTCCGGACTATAAGCCACTATTTTTTCCCTCACACTTTGAACCCTGCGGCGAATAAAACGATGCGGCGAATATATGGATGGATTCTTTGTTTGGCACATTGTCCATTCATATAAAAAGGTCTATGGTTTGGCAACACAGCGGATAAGAGCGGCCTGAGTGCAGAAAACGCCGCTGTCTGTGCGATTTACACATGGATCTAGGGTTCACGTGGAGCTCGCGATATTGTCAGTGCACTCATATAGTTTATCGCCGTGTGATAAAATAAGTTCTGATGCTAAATGAACATTAGTGAGGGGGAAACGTCTGACCCGTGTGTGTAAATGTCGAAAAGAAACGTCTCAAACTTCAGTAGCCGGACTAGGGATGGGCATTCGATGAAATTTTCTTAATCGATCGTCGGAAGAATTAACGATCGATTATCGATTAATCATTAACGTGTTATATATTAAAATGATCATCATTATTATTACTATCTGCACTACTAATCTGCATACATAAATTCAACTTTACGACATATAAACCGTAACGACTCTAGAGCCACATCAGCCCGTTTGACATTATAATGTTTAATTAAGTTTTGCGCAAATCACACAGGAACAAAACTTAAAACCGCATCGCTAATTTGCATAAACTAAGCGAAGATAAAAATACAGCTCTTGTGCACTGATGTGGTTCAACTTCTGTTGGATTAAAAGACATGACTCAGGTGAATACAGGTTAGTGTGACCAGATTTGCGTTTGTCAAAACCAGGACACCGTACGGGGGGAGGGAGGTGGGGACTCGTCATTGACATTGCGCGACTCTCACCTGGCAAAACTTTTTCCCACTGGACACCGAAACATATGTTCCTGCTTTGTAAACTGTGCACATGGACTCACACTTGTCCCGAACACAACGGAAAGCGTGGAATTTCTGTTTGTGTTTGCTCGCTCCTTCTGAGTGCAGAGAGACACATGTACGGACCCCTGTTTGGTCAGGCTACACACAGCAACCTACATTCGGTTTGTCGATTAAAATGAACGTAATCGATGAACATTCTTTATGATCAATTATCGATTAATCATGCCCATCCCTAAGCCGGACATCCACTCAGACCTGATCTAACCTAATCCCGAGAGAGTCTGAAATCTGCTGAAATCCTACGAGACACTGACACGATACAGACAGGACAGAGGCTCTTTCTGCAGGAGACATGCGCAGTAGAGCTCGGGGAGAGACGGGGTGATACGCCGAGGATGATTCTAGTTTGATTGTGTTTTGAACAGTTATTTTGCGCTTCATACACACACCTTCCTCGTGGAAAACACACGAAGAAATGCAGATGATGCAGCTTTTAAGTTAACGGCGAGTGATGTGGATGTTGAAGAAGGAAACAGAGCTGCTGCACGTGAGCTCGGCGTCAGTGAGTCGACGGTGAGACGTTGGCGACGGCAGCGTGACGAACTGACTCAACGCAAAAAACATGACAAAAACTTTCAGAGGCGATAAAAGCAGACGGCCCGAACTTGAAAACGTTCTTGAAGACGTGGACACATGCGGCTTATATTCAGGTGCAACTTATATACCGCATGTTCGGCACAATAGGGCGCACTTAAAAGCTTCTAAATTTAATCAAAAAACGACTACGTGCCTTATAATCCAGAGCGCCTTATATATGAATTTATTCGAGTGTCTTAGTACGACTTTAGTAAACTACAAAGCCGCACCATTTGCAGCATCACGGCTCCCGTAGTCAGGATCATCGTGGAGTAACACATACTGTGATTCCTTTTAATATCAAAATGCACCTGTCAAGAGACACGCTTACAACGCCCACTTTAAACTCAAGGCTGTTATAAAGAAGCAGTGGATGAGAGAAGGAGAACACGCATTCACCGCCGAGCGACTTACGCCACGATCTGCCAACGGATCGTGGACGCCTGGACTAAGGATCAGTATCAACTGTGGTCCGAGCTTTCACCAAGACCAGAATCATCACTGAACTGCCAGGGAACAGTAACCACACTGACTCGGATCATGACGAGAGGGACGCCGTAATCTCCGAACTGTCTGAACAATTAAGAGTTATTGTGAATACACGAACAATGTAGCATCTCAGATTCTTTTTTTTTTTTTACGCGGTACAATTGAACAAAGTTGAGAGTTATTGTGAACGCCTTTAAAAAAGTTTGACTGACTTATCTAACTGTTGTGTTTCATTTTATATGTGGGAAAAAGTTCGAAAATAGACCATTCAATGACAGTGCGCCTTATAATCCAGAGCGTGTGGAAAATACAGTATGTACAATTTTAAAATTTAGTTAAAATTTAGTCGATGCGGCGTATATTCAGGTGCGCTCAATAGTCCGGAAATGACGATAAACTCCTCACTGAGACCAATAAAGTTTGATTATTTTCTCTGACATCTGCTCCCGAAGCCTCCCTCATGTTTACTCCTTCTTTCCGTCCGTGGTTTTCTTTGGGACGCCACTTAATGCGACACGTTTGATCGACAGCTGAAAAATGAAGTATCGAGGAGAAGGAAGCGAGGAACGAGAAACGCGTCCCTTTTCTGATACGAGTGTTGCGCCTGCTCGAGATGGAAATAGCAAATCTCCGCATTCGAATCAGCAGTGAAAGCCAAAGTTACAGCGTTTATTTTAAAAAAAAACAACCTCTTTCTAAAATGAAGTCCTCCCCTGCTCGACGTTGGCTGCAATTCAAAACTTAAAATGATTGGTTTGCGCACAGTTCGTCTCAAGAGCTCAACAAGCGACAATTTGAAAACAAAAATCTTAAAGGTGCACTGTGTAACTTTTTGCGTTTTTCCCGTCACCTGCTTGTTTCCGTGGATACGTCACGTTCCACGGTGTGACATTAAACCGCTCCAAGTTACATTTACTCAATTACAGATGGTTTAAAGGCTCAAAAATACCTCGAAAAAACAGGTATTCTGACTGAGCGGGGTCGCTTTTCCACAGATCTGACCTGTGACTTGGTCTGGTTTGGTTGCCATGACGATACAAAATGCCACACTGTGAAACGTTCCGGTCAAAGCAATAACATGTCCACGGAGAAAAGCATCGAAGAGAAAAGTTACACCTTTTAAAACCGTTTGCAAAATGAGTTATGTTTTAAAAATGCAAAATAGTAATGTTTATTTGGTTAACTACAATTTTTTTTTGTTTTACATTTTATTAAATTTTGATAGCGTGTTTTAACAGTAGCAATCGCCAATAAGAAAATACAATTTATTTTCGCCTATCTAGCCTTTTCAAAAACAACTTCAAAACGTCACCTTGCACAACAAAACCCAAATACTCCGGATACGACGATCGTAAAGGGTCCACTGTTGGTTCACTGCGGATTGAAAACAAGTGCTGTACTGTCTTTGTGTACCTGCAGGGGGCGGTCTTGAGGCGTTTGGGGGGGCAGAGTCCATGCAGTTATAGAGTAGTTTATCTGATTAAGCTGCAGATGAGATCCAGGTCTGGTTTCGGGGGGGGATGGGGGGCAGGTTTGGGACGGATTTAAGAGCCCTGTGCTTCTAGCTCTGAGGCGGGGGTGTCCGGCTCCTCGTCGTTGTAGATGTTTTCAGCCTAAAGAGAAATAATATGTCATGAAAAATGCAGTTTTGAAAGCGGACGTTCGGAAGATGCAACTACCCGTCTCTGAATCTGTTGAGATTGTAACTGACGATAATGTCTGTATTTGTTTTTATAGTAATAAGTGAAAAGGTTATTATTTTATTTGTTCAAGTATTGAGATGTGTCATAATATTGCAGTTATTGTTTTTTGTATTTTATTTGTGAATATATTTGCCTTTTGAGTTGTGTGACCTTTGCCTTACCCCCGGAAGTAGAAAAGAGAAAAGGGGATAAAGAGAGAAAACAGAGAGGTGTAAAGAAAAGGGACATCAACATAAAAATACGCTGTTTTATTACAGCTAAAGGCGAACACGGTAAATATAGTTTCTATTGTGTATTTATTTAAAGGTGTTTATGAAAAGTTAAGTTATTTTCTGTCCGTTTTGGTGTGTTAATGAAGATTGCTGAAAATAAATACTGACACACAATCATCAGTACGAAGCGTGAAGTCCTTTCTCGCTAAGAAAACCAGGGAAGCTACGTAGATGATTATAAATAACTTTGTGACTGGGGCTGAAACAATATATTGTCATTTCAAAACTTAATGCTTAATGTGTCATCGAACATTTTAAATCAGGGGTGTCAAACTCAAATTCACACAGGGCCAAGATTCAAAACTGGGACTAAGTCATGGGCCAAACTAAAAATTTCAACAACATCTGCAGGTTTTCTCTTCTTTCGAGATATGTGACGTTAACCCTTACATACTATTCGGGTTCATTTTGACCCGTTTTGACATTCAGCAGTAGTAAAAATACTCTAAACATCATTCTTTGACCCTGAAATTTGATGACTTTTTTCCCTAAATTTTGCCAAAATACACAAAAATGTTATACTTTTATATACCACAGCTTTGAATGCATTGACTAGTTTGAAATAAGCATAAAGGCTGCAGTGAATAAAAATGGTTATATTATAATTTCCAACAGTTCCAGAATATTCATGTCAGTTTCAAATGCAGTAAATATCATAATTATTTTGGCTTTTATGTTTTTATTTGTTTCGTAAAACAGGACATGATACTTGTGATAGTAGATGTTTTTCTCAAAAAAAACAAGTGTTGTAAAACATGCAAAAATATGCTCTTCCTGCTCTCAGAAACATTAGATTTATATATTACATATATTTATTCATGTGGGACAGTCTGTTTATTTGGTATAGACACTTACTGTAAGGGAATTCTTGGTCCAGGCCAAATTTGACCTGGACCAAACTGTGAAAGCTTAAGAAATGAACAGTATGTAAGGATTAAACCTTTTCTTATTAAAATAAATGTTTAATAAAAGTTTTGCTTAAACACTGAATCCAGAACAAGCAAAATATTAAATAAAAAATAAATTTTAAATAAATAATGTCTCTATAGTCTATCTGTAGCCGGCGGGCAGCTCTAGTACATATTTGCTATAATCTCGCAGGGCAAATATAATTTTATCGCAGGCCAAATTTGGTTCCCGGGCCTGAGTCTGACACGTTTTAAATCATTTTTATCATTCCTTTATCAAAAGTTTGTTGCCTTTTTCTTTTATTTGTTGGTTTAATGGGTTATCTGTGAAAGATAAGAACAGTCTGAACCAAATAGTAAAAGTGTGCGGCAAAGTCAGTGGTGTTCAGATGGAGGATTTGGCGTCTGTGTGGAGACTTAGGGCGCGCCAAAAGACTAAGACCAGACTGAGCCAGAGTAACCATGTACTACAACACCACGCTAAATTGTTTATTCCTTTTGCCATGAAGCTTTTAAATGGAAAGTAAATTTTCTATCGTGTCCCCTGATGCACTGAGGCTTGAATGTATGTCGTGTGTTGTATGTATTACATTTTTTCTTTTATTTGTGAATTGTGCACGACCAGAGATGTGTGAACTGAATTGTCGTTTGGGATTAAGATAATTGTTGAATGATTGATTAAAAAGTATTTTGAGTGTCTTTTTGTGAAATATGAATTTGGTGTAACTGATTAGTGATGGTTGGCAAAGCTGCTGGTGCCATTATATGTTGGTCAGTCTGTCCCAGGGCAGCTGTGGCTACGATGGAGCCATGGAGTGAATGAATGTGAAATTATTGACCAGTCTTGAGTGGCAGTGACCAAAGCATCAATTTTTTACCTGCATTTTTTCCACTATCAAAGTTCTTCTTGTAGTGGCATAAAGGTGGGTCAAAGGCACTTATAATATTAATTAAAATGCTTAATGATGCGTTTTTAATATTATCAACTGTCTCTTTTGTACTGACCATTTGCCAGACTTGCATGATGTTGTCCTCGGACACGGAGCAGATGACCCAGGGCTCGTTGGGGTTCCAGGAGAAGTCTGAGATCTTCGCTGTGTGTCCCCCGTGGATGAACTGAAGAAAAAATAAAATAAAATAAAAAATCACATTTACATAAACAAGATTTTTCATAATTTTTTTTAATCAAACTAAATTTTTTTTAAATTAAATGATAGAAATGAGACTCACCAAGAGCTCTGGGGGTCCATCCTCTGCATCTTCTGCCGACTGCTCCTCTCCGATTTTACTGTGAAAACAATAAATAGTGCAGTGAATAACTTGTTCCGAACAGAATTGTAATGTGTGTGTGTTTTTTAGGTGAACATTAAAGCTCTAACCTGAGATCCCAAACATTGAGGCGTCTGTCGGTGCCACTGGACGCTAAGATGGTCTCGTTGTGAGGAGACCACTGGACCTAAAATTGAAATAAAATTAATAGTTTGTTATGAATTACATGTTGAGCTACGTTAAAATATGTAAATAGTTGATTTTAAAAAATTTACCTGGAAAATTTCGTCTTTGTGTGATTCAAACGAGTGAAGTTTCAGTTTGAGGTTCCTCAGATCCCACAACGCAACAGTCTGAGAAAATAAACAACAGAAAAGTGAAATTGGCAAAAGCACAAGCAGCAGTAGATTCATCACCATAATGTTTTACTTCTGGACACAGTAGATATGAGAAACAGCAACACTTTCGCAAGCCTCAGCTCTTAAAGAAGCAGTGCCCAATTTATCATCTGATAAAGTACATTTTTTCCCAGTCCAGATATGGTGTAAAATCAGCTCTTAGGACCAAAATGAGACTTCTGTGAGCTGTTTGCAGAATACTTCAACTACCGTATTTTCCAGGCTATTAGACGCGCTCTTAAGCCTCCAACTCCATCAAAAAACAACTGCAAGCCCCACAACCCAGAGCGCCCGATACACGAATCCACTCAGGTGTCCCAGCACGACTTCAGTAAACTACAAAGCCGCACCACCTGCAGCGCACGCAAACACACACGGAGCAGACAGCGACCGCACAGCGAAAAACACCCACAGCTACAATCTGTGTATCATTCGTTCATTTGTTTTTCAATATAAAACCAAAAATAAGAAAATGAAAAAACAACTATTTTTTTCAATATTTGTCTCCAAAACCAAAATGAAAAAACAGATAACGATTCATTTTTTCAGTTTTTCGATTTTGTGTTTAAATGAAGAATGGAAAAAACGGATAACGGCCGTTTTTCGTTTACATGACTTCCATGACTGTGATGCCGAACTTTTGCGCTGCATATGGACGGGACCTTAGCGGGACAGAGACCGGGACAGAGACCGGGACAGAGACCGGGACAGAGACCGGGACAGAGACCGCGACAGAGACCGCGACAGAGACCGCGACAGAGACCGGGACCAGGCCGGAGGCTCAGAGCCCACGGCAGGGCCAGAGCTCGAAGCTGAGGCTCAAACCCTGCGGAGGCTCTGAGTCCGCTCTAGTCCCGGTCTCAGTCCCGGACCTGGATCAGTCCCGGTCTCAGTCCCGGACCTGGATCAGTCCCGGTCTCAGTCCCGGACCTGGATCAGTCCCGGTCTCAGTCCGTATGCAGTGCAAAAGTCTGGCATCGCAGTCACGGAAGTCACGTAAACTGAAAACGGCCGTTATCTGTTTTTTCCATTCTTCATTTGAACACAAAATCGAAAACTGAAAAAAACTAATCGTTATCCGTTTTTTCATTTTGGTTTTGGAAACAAATAATGAAGAAAACTGTTGTTTTTTCGTTTTATTTTTGGTTTTATTTTGAAAATCGAATGAACAAATGATACACAGATTACCCGCACTCATCACTCCACACGGACGAGGAACGGAACGAAGGAACGAACCGAAAAAGCGAGTGCAACGTGCCACTTCTAGACACAACTGAACAACTGAGTCACTGCGAACACGCCGACAATCCGTTGGTCCCAGACAGCACCCTCCCTACACGCCACAACTGAACAAAGCCCAGAGTCACCGTGAACACACCAAACTAAATCCCACTGACCCATCCAACTGTTGTGTTTTGTTTAAAGTCCAGTGCGGTTTATTTGTGAAAAAAGTTCAAAAATAGACCATTCAGTGACAGTGCGCCTAATAGTGTGGAAAATACGGTAGTTTCAAGACAGTTTTAAAAAAAGGTACAATGAGGGCTGTGCAGTTGACCCGTCCTTCAGTGTTATAACATGACTCTGTGTAGTTGTACTCGTCACAGTACATGTGTCTGTACCTTGTCCGCGGAGCCGGTGGCCAGGATGAACTCGCTGTAGGGGTTGAAGCTCAGACAGTTGACCTCGGCCGTGTGAGCGTCCACAGCGTGACTCGCTTTGGACGTGTTGTTGGACCTCGTGTCCCAACTGAAAAACAGATTCAGAGTGTTATTATAAAGTAAGAAGAGGCAAGTTAATCCGTGTATCATTCGTTCATTCGTTTTTCAATTTAAAACCAAAAATAAGAAAACAAAAAAACAACTATTTTCTTCATTATTTGTCTCCAAAAAAAACAGATGATGATTTGTTTTCTCAGTTTTCGATTTTGTGTTTAAATGAATAAAATGGATAATGGCCGTTTCATTTTCGTGACTTAAACTGCGATGCCAGATTTTGGGCCACATATGGACTAAACCAAAACTAAACCAGGACTAGACCAGGACTGAAAACGGTTTAGTCCTGTTTTGGTCCTGTTTCAGTCCGTATGGGGCGTAAAAGTCCGGCATCACAGTTTAAGTCACGAAAACGGGAAACGGCCATTATCTGTTTTTTCCATTATTCATTTATACACAAAATCTAAAACTGAAAAAAAAAAAATAATAATCGTTTTTCATTTTGGTTTTGGAGACAAATAATGAAGAAAACTTATTTTTTCGTTTTCTTATTTTTGGTTTTATATTGAAAAACGAATGATACAAAGATTCAAGTTAATGAGAGTTTCCTTATAAAATGTTTGCAAATTGTTGCCAAAGAAAAAAATATTAAACATTTGTAAATGTGTCAGTTGTTCAAACAATCTCCAGGTGTAACTTTCCAAAAAATGTAGTGCTGGCAGATTTTCACATTGACCTTGGGCCCAGATTTTAATAGAGTGCATTAAGAGAGATTCTTTTTCATTACAGTCTCTGCTCTGGACTCAGTGTTGGTGCAGTGTTACAGGACGACCAGGTTCTGCAAAGTTTTTCTCCTAAGGCTGAACTAAATATAAATGCATTTACCAAACTGCCACTGTTCTCCACAACATTAACACACACACACACAAAAAAACACATTTAGTTGTATGTGAATGAATAAAGCCTTTCTGCGTCCATGAACTGTACTTCAGAGATCATCTTAAAGTTTCCATTTTTCTCTTCAAAATAGTAAAAACCCAGATGCCCTTTGTTTGTTTTTATTCTAATAGAGCGACCTGACTTACATCATGAGCTTCTGGTCATCGGCCACAGATCCAAACAGAGACTCGTGGAGCAGGTGCCAGGACACATCCTCCACCACCGCAGTGTGTCCAGTGAAGATGGTTTTAGCGTCCACCACCTTCCCCTCTTTAGGAGCCGCGCCGATGTCCCACAGGCAGATCGTCTACAAACACATGTATTATAAAAATTAAATAACCATAAAGCGTGTTGTAATGTTATATCAGGTGTTGACACTTTAATTTGCTCTCCCACTTAAAGAACCCGACACTCACGTGATCGTCGGAGGCGCTGAGCAGGTTCCCGCTGAGGTTTGGGTTCCAGGAGAGTCCGTATCCTTCTTTCTGATGCCCCTTGAGCCGCAGGTCAGGGGAGCACTCGCCACTCGGGTCTGAAGCACAGACACAACATTACACAACAGAGTAATGCAGAAAACTGGAACTGTCACATTTTTTTCACATTTCTAATATTTACTGTGGCAAAACATTCTCACACGTTACTAGGAAAAAAAAACATTGTGTTGCTTGACCATACACACAAAAAATAAGCAACTATAAATGTGTAAATATTAAGGTATTTTTCTTTTTAAATTCAGCACTGATCACCGTTTTTCATTAGAATGATTTCATGCCATACATGCATCCCGAATTTTGGACTTCCGGTCATCGTGCAATGCATACTGGGAAGGATTCTCTGAAAAAGTGAGCATCAAACCGCCATGTTTGTTTTCCCAGTGGGATGCGTCTATTGACAAAGCTGATCTTTTGAACCATATCGCTTTTGTTTCTGGTTCTGATATTGTCATATTTTAGTTTTGGGATTCGGACATTGTAATTGTGTGCTTGTTGGACGTCCTAACAGCAGAAAATGGGCTTCAAAAGTTTGCGAACTCCATAAATGCAAAAGGGAATCAGATCTATGTGACTGCAAAACTCCGTGTTTCCCTTCCCAAAGGAATAGAAAAATAGTGAAAGGCGATGGGCAGTACTGATACACAGGAAGGACAAAAAAGGTAACCTTTGACTGCCTAAGAAATCATCCCAAGTTTGCAGCGAACAAACAAAATCCTCTTTGTTAAGCGAGAGGTGCAGAAGACAAACAGGCTGAGCTCACACTTTCTTGTTCTTGTGGTTTTACAGCAACATCACGTCTTGGTCTCTTTGCAGTGGAAGGTGTTTCTTGGTGAAAAGCTGGTGCCTTTCGCTTTGGTGTTGACTTACTAAATTTGTAACCAAGGTTGAGCGAGGGATCGGGATTTTGCTTTGTTGGAGCTCCACATTCAAAATGTTCACTGCAAACTCAGGATGATTTCTTAGGCAGTAAAAGGTTTCCTTTTTCGTCCTTCCTGTGGATCAGTACTGCCGATCGCCTTCAACTTTCACTATTTTTCAATTCTGTTGGGAAGGAAAACAGTTTGAACGGAGGTTTGTAGTCACACAGATCTGATTCCCTTTTGCGGTTATGGAGTTCAAACTTCCAAAGCCCATTTCTCAAGCCGTTTTCCACTGTTAGGATCCAACAACCACACAATTACAACGTCCAAATCCCATAACTAAAATATGACAATATCAAAACCAGAAACAAAAGCAATATGGTTCAAAAGACTAGAAAAGATCAGCTTTGACAATAGACACATCCCACTGGGAACTCAAACATGGCAATTTGATGCTTTTTAGAAGGATCCTTCCCAGTATGCATTGCGCGATAACCACAAGTCTGAAATTCGTGATGCAAGTATTGCACTGGTAACAAACAGCTTATTTGATCATATTTTCTAGGTTAAAATACAGTTTCCCCCCCCACGCACCATACTGTCCTGGGAATGTACCTGGTTTGGAGGGGTGCTTGGTGTAGTCAAACACCAGCACGTCTGATGTGGGCGTCTTTGTGGCGATGATCACCGGGTTCTGGGGCATGTACCTCGCTCGGTTCACTTCTCCCTCGTGGTTTATCTTGATCTCAATCTCGATTTTCCCACTGACAGAACCGAAGCCTCCAAATTCTGAAGACACAGAAAAAAAAAACATACATAAAAAAGGTTATATTTGTAAATTATGTATATTATTAATGAGCTGTGGATTTGATAATAGTTTTAAACAGGCAAAACTGCAAAATATGTCTAGAAAATAAAAGCAAATTAGGAAATTACAGTAGCTTTTAAGGCAAACTATGGGGACTATAAGCAGATGTGCATGTTGTCAGTGAGTAATAATAATAATAATAATAATAATAATAATAATAATAATTCTAAAATAATTCTGACAAGCATTTCTTTTAAAATAATAAAACAGTAATTTGGGTGTTCATTTAAGCTTGACTTACTTAAATAAGTCTTTGGTTTTGGGTCAGATTTTACCTTGTATTGGACACACATTTTACCAAACACTGAAATACCAGAACAAAAAAAACAAACCACAAAGAGAAGCCAGTAGCTGTTCATCCTTCAACATACCTGCTGGAAGAGAAAAGAACAAGAACTTAGGATTCATAAATAAAACATCTTGATTTAATTAAATTACAGATGACTCCCTCAGTCTAGCCGAGTGTCCCTCCGTGCTCACCTCCCTTCTCGCTGTCGTAGTGCGAAGCGTCAAACTGGGCGTCGTCGTTGGGCACCTGGACACTGGCGATCACCAGGTGGTTCTGCTCGTCCGACGTGTGAGTGCCCAGAACCAGCCTGTGCACCGTGTAGTCCTTACCCTCCGGCCTGAACAGGGGCAGACAAGAGTATCAGCATGATAGTACTAATAGTATTTCAATATTACTAAAATCCCTTTTAACTAGAATCATTTTGACACTGGACTCAACACTGGACTCAACACTGGACTCAACACTGGACTCAACACTGGACTCAACACTGGACTCAACACTGGACTCAACACTGGACTTAACACTGGACTTAACACTGGACTCAACACTGGACTTAACACTGGACTTATAAAGAGCCTTTCAATTTAAAATATCAAATCTTAAAATATTTAATCATAAGGATTTAAAGTAGTGACCTAAAATATAGTTAATAAGGAAATATAGGTAATCCTTAACACAATTATTTATAGTAAAAAAAAAAAAAAAAGAAGATAATAAAAATATAATATTATTTATGCAAATAATATAGATTATTATTGTAATTATTGTCATTAGTGGTATTGACAGTGGAAATAGTAATAATATTGTTGCCATTATTATTACTCTTACTACTACGCCTACGGGATGCCTAGAAAGAAAGAGAAAGAAAGAAAGAAAGAAAGAGAAAAAGAGAAAGAGAGAAAGCGTGACTAAGAGTGACTAAGAGTGAGTGAGAAAAGGAATTTAAATTATAAATTACCAAATAAAAATATAAAATAGTGTAATAAATACAATACCAATATAAGGGGGCCTAGCAGTGCGGTTATGCTGCACTACCACATTATGTTTGTTTTATTTAATTAAATGTATGCCATTGTGTGTGTGTGTGTGTGTGTGTGTGTGTGTGCGTGTGTGTGTGTGTGTGTTTAGGGGAGGGAAGGCGCATTTGTTGTGGGTATTGCTCTATATTTTTGTGTTTTGTTTTTATGCTGATTATTGTATTTTATTAAATGTTATATTCTGTTGTCTTCAATAAAATAAATTTGCTGAATTTGTCACTATAAATTTGCTGCAGACATCTAAAAAATTATATGTACAAATACAATAAAAATACATTGAAATATTAATCCATTTACAATCAAACCATGAATTCTTGTGAAGTGATGGTTCCTCAATTAATGAACAATCACTAATTAAAAGGTTGGCAGCTCGATCCCCACTACTGATACAGATTAGGTTTAGATCTCGTGGTCCCTGTAAAGTCATTTTACCGTTTTAGGTTTATTTTTTAGGTTTATTTAAGCGGTACTTGGTGTGAAAAGTTTGAGGCCCCTGTTGTAGTGAAATACCTGTTGACGTCGGGGAGCCACTGCACTGTGAGACTTGGCCACTCGAGGGCGTGAGTCATCACCAGGTCGTACAGAAACGGAGTGTTCTTCTTCCAGATCTTGTACTCCTCGTTTATGACGCGCTCCTCCACAGCATCGTCGTACACTGAGGAATACAGAAGATTATTTTACATTATAATACAAGTTTATACTTTAGAAGAAGTATCCAAAGTAAACCAAAACAGTCAGTACTCGATACCAGAGATTTTGAGTAGAGAAGGTCATAGTTTGTCCTATAAGTGTAATTTCTTTCAAGATTTTAAAACTTATATCAGGTTATTCATCTTGTTTCCAGATTTATTATCTACTTACGAGACCAGGGACCAGGGCTTAATTCTAGTCTAGAGGTAATTTATTTTAAGATAACTTGTCAAGTAAAATTATCTTGCTGCATGGACTGATAATTTCACTACTTTCAAGTCATTTTCTGATAGATTTAAGTGTTTATATCTTCAATTTTGGCCAAACTTTTCAACAGTGTAGGCCTATGTCTGATATTTTTTGACAACCTAAATAGAAAGTCATTAAAATATGGCTGTGTTAGTGATTGTGTTATTTGAGCCTCCGGCAATAATATAACAAAGTCCTCAATTTAGCTATAAATCTATATTTAATAAACAACACATCTGCACATTTTGGGTTTTGCGTACCACTGTACTTTTGCCTTACAGTACAAAAAAAAAAAAAAAAAAAAAAACTGTGACACCTTCAGTTTGTGGTGGTTAGTAATAAAAGTGTGAAATGAGTGCGTACTCAAAGAAAATAGTTTTGCACTCAGCCCATTCATAACTAAACATGTGAGTCAGTACAGTCACATTTTCTTTCTGTTTTGGTCATTTTCAAAGGCTAGGCAAGTTTATTTGTACAGCACAATTCATACACAAAGTAATTAAAAGTGTTTTACAGAATAAGAAAAACATTAAAATCACAATAAAAACAAATCAAAACATAAATATTCATCATAAAATTAAAGATTAAAATAAAAAACTAGAGAGAGCCTGGATTTAAACAGAGTCAAAGTAGAGGCCCGTCTCACATCTTTAGGAAGACTGTTCCAGGTTTTAGCTTTGTGAACCTGAAACTCTGACTCCCCGTGTTTAGTCCTGACTCTGGGCACCAGCAGGAGGCCGGTCCCTGAGCTCCTCAGAGTGCGAGATGGTTCATGTGACACTAACATGTCACAGATGTACTTTGGTGCTCGGCCATGGAGCAGGGTTTCTGTCTTTTACCTAAATAAATGACAGTTTAGGTCTCTCTTTACTGTTGGCAGGGAACAAATTGGTCAAAAATAGGGACATCTGCAACATTTATTACAACTGGGACAAATCTGCTGGGACAGAGGACAGAGGGCTCAAAACTGGGACTGTCCCGGGTAAATAGGGACGTCTGGTCACCCTATTTCTGTTACGGACACTGTATCCTACTTAAAGTTGATTATCATTCAGAAGTTACCGATACGATACATATCTCGATACACAGGCCACGATACGATACATATCTCGAGCTTATGATTCAATACGATATATTTCAAATTAATTCCATAAGCTTCATTAAAAAAATAAAGGCTAAATCATGGCTGTGATACTAAAAGCCTTTGTTAAACCACTTCTCATGCAACGATAACACGAAACACGCCCATTTTAAATAATCAAAACAGTGGAAATGTCAATTGTGTTGCATAAACGAGTTTCCTTCCTTCAAACATGCAACAAAACTGTAGCGCTGTAATAAAATAAAACAGCAAAATATCCCAAAAAACACTCTTGGCGATATCGATACAGCAGCCCACGATATTGACACCGTATCATCACATTAAACGATACGATAAGTCGATATTTTGATATTTTTGCACACCCCTAATCCTAATGACACATCCCTCATTGTTGCCTGTAATGGGAAAATTATCAAAGAGGCCATATTATTACCAAAGCATTTATTTAACTATGAATTTCTAAAACTGGGAAAAGAATACAACTAGATTTACATTGCTAAATTTTCCAATGTAATGTTCAAATCCTAATGTTAATTGTCGTTGATGCAAAATTATAAAGTGGCAGAACTGACAATCCCTCGTGCCATTTCATCTCATATTTGCACTAGGCTTTAGAAAAATATAAAATACACCCAAACTGTGCAGATGCATGTTAATTTAGCGGATAAAGAGCATTAGTTGAACCCTAACCCACCGGCTGTTATCAGGAGATGCTAATATGTTGTTAGCCGCCGGAGTGCTTTAGCCTGTCTGTCACACGAGGGGAACCAGGCCACTCTTTTTACCGCTTTAAAACTTTCCCTACCGTCTTTATCCGCCATGTTCCCGTGTGAGCGCTGGGGCACGGTGTCCGAAAGCCCAGTAAGTGTTCCCCGGTGCGGATCGGTGCAGTTTTAGGCGCTCCTGGTGCTCGGGTTGAATCGCAGCTTTCTTCCTTTTCAGCGCGGAATCGGTCTGCACGTACGGCGCATGCGCAGACGGGGGCGCGCTGAATATGCATGAGCTGGTAATGAGCGCGAGGAGGGGCCGCGAGGGCAGTTATACAAATAATACTCTTATTTATGTAATACAGGCAGTGTTATTATTATTATAACTAAACGAGGAATAAACTAGATCTAAACCAGGTCTAAACCAGGTCTAAACCAGGACTAAAACAGGACTAAAACAGGACTAAAACAGGACTAAAACCAGGTCTAAACTAGATCTAAACCAGGTCTAAACCAGGTCTAAACCAGGACTAAACCAGAACCAAAACAGGACTAAAACCAGGTCTAAACTAGATCTAAACCAGGTCTAAACCAGGTCTAAAACAGGTCTAAAACCAGGACTAAACCAGGTCTAAAACCAGATCTAAACCAGGACTAAAACAGGACTAAACCAGGACTAAACCAGGACTAAAACAGGTCTAAACTAGATCTAAACTAGATCTAAACCAGGACTAAAACCAGGTCTAAACTAGATCTAAACCAGGTCTAAAACTGGTCTAAAACCAGGACTAAACCAGGACTAAACCAGGTCTAAACTAGATCTAAACTAGGTCTAAAACAGGTCTAAAACAGGTCTAAAACCAGGTCTAAACCAGGTCTAAAACCAGGTTTAAACCAGGACTAAAACAGGACTAAATCAGGACTAAAACAGGACTAAACCAGGACTAAAACAGGACTAAAACAGGTCTAAACCAGGACTAAACCAAGACTAAAACCAGGTCTAAACTAGATCTAAACTAGATCTAAACCAGGTCTAAAACAGGTCTAAACCAGGACTAAAACAGGACTAAACCAGGACTAAAACCAGGTCTAAACTAGTTCTAAACCAGGTCTAAACCAGGACTAAAACCAGGTCTAAAACCAGGTCTAAACCAGGTCTAAAACCAGGTCTAAAACCAGGACTAAAACAGGACTAAACCAGGACTAAAACAGGACTAAAACAGGTCTAAACCAGGACTAAAACAGGACTAAAACAGGTCTAAACCAGGACTAAAACAAGTCTAAAACCAGGTCTAAAACCTGGTCTAAAAGCAAGTCTAAAACCAGGTCTAAACCAGGACTAAACCAGTACTAAACCAGGACTAAAACAGGATTTAACAGGACTAAACCAACTGTCTCCTCCTCTTCTGTCAATACTATTTTTAATTTGGTTAAGTAAAGTCTGGGCTTTTTATTTTCTTTTAGCAGATAAAACATCTTATGTTGCGATATCTTAGTCTTTGCTTCTCTACAGCAAACCAGGTAATCCAAAGTATTCAGATTATGTTACTCACCTTAAATAATTTAATGGATTCCGTTACAAACTACATTTTAGGATATGTAATCTGTAATCTGTAGGGGATTACATTTTAAAAGTGACCTTCCCAACACTGAATCCAGGGTGATCAGACAGTCTCAGTTTAGTCTTTGAGCCCTGTGTCCCCTGTCCCTTCAGATTTATACAAAACCACTGATTTGTCCCAAAGAAATGTCCCAGGTGTCCCTATTTTTGACCAGTTTGATCTAAACCAGGACTACATAAACTCTAAATCAGGACTAAAACAGGAATATCACAATTTTTGACTAATCTGATGCCCGTCAACAGTAAAGATTAGGGCTGGGTGTCATTAAGAAGTTGGTGATATGATACATATCTCGACACTTTCAGTCCGATATGATATATTTCTAATCGATTTGATTCAGTTCATTGAAAAATAATGGCTAAATCATGGCTGTGATACTAAAAGTCTTTGTTAAACCACTTCTTGTGCAAAGTTCATATGAAACACAAACATTTTAATCCTCAAAACAGTGAAAATATCAAATTTGTTGTATAAATGAGTTTCCGTCCTCTGAAAAAGCAACAAAACTGTAGCGTTCTAACAAAATAATTTAGTAAAATATACCAAAAAATACGCTTGGTGATGTATCAATACAGCAGCCCACGATATCCATACTGTATCATCACATTACACCAGACATGTCAAATTCAAGCCCGGGGGCCAAATTTAGCCCGCAATACAATTATATTTGGCCCACGAGATCATATCAAATCTGTATTAAAGATGCCCGCCAGCTACAGATAAACTATAGAGACATTATTTATTTAAAATATTGTTATGGATTCAGTGTTTAAGCAAAACTATTCTTAAACATTTATTTTAATAAGAAAAAGTTTGACATTATATATCTCGAAAGAAGAGAAAACATGCAGATGTTGTTGAAATTTTTCGATAACTATTTAGTTTGGCCCACGACTTAGTCCAAGTTTTTAATTTTGACTGTGAATTTGAGTTTGACACCTCTGCATTAAATGATACGATATATTGATATTTTTGATATTTTTGCACACCTTTAGTAAAGCGGAGCATACACTGTCTTTTGTTTGGCCAAAATACAGAAAGCCATGTTTGCGAAGGACCATAAAACAAAAAAAATAAAATAAAATGCAGCAACAGAAGTCCCTCAGATCATGACTGACAGAATGCACAATGTTAAACGCCATTTTCACAGTTTTATTTATACCATCCATCCCAACCCGGCTGTGTCCCAGTTTAGAATTTTAGAAATCTGGTCACCCTGATATAGTAGCACGGTGTGTATTGGTGTTCCAGTGCTCTTTTGATCCCAGCTGTCACGTATGCATTGCTCTTGTGTCCTTGGGCAAGACACTTAATCTCCTCGCCTTCACTGTCTATAATAGTGTCTGAATGAGATGATGATTCATTGATGTAACACATACACTGGGGGTTTACACTATCACACTGTATACAATGTTAATTTTAGCATTTAAAGCCCCACTGTGTAACTATTTAGCCAAAAATATACAAAAATCAAAGGAAATTTTCATATTTTTTGGTTTATTTTGGATGGTTTTATTGCACTGAAAAACATGCACCTTTACTGTGAGCAAACATGACTCTTATTTGGTCTATAGGTCCTGCTTATCTCCAAGGTAAAGTTGTTCCTTAAAATATAATATTCCAGTGTGGCATAAAATATTAACCTGATTCATCAGCGGGTTTCACTTTGTACAAATCGTCTTACCTCGCAGCATTAGGATTCATTCACTCAACAGTAGGCGGGTTCTTTTTTCATTTAACCAATCACTACTTTTTGGTCGTGATGTATGTAATGCGCCGCTAACGGGGCTAACTGATTGGCTGGTGCCCAAACTCGCACTTCTGGCGTTCTTACAAACTGTCTAGTGTATTCTGATTCCTGACCTCATCACTGGAGAGAAATGAAATTGAGCGGAGGCACTAGGTGACGCCAGCCTGGCTAATTAAACATATCCCCATGTACAATGTCCCAGAGTATATGGTGACATGCCAGATCCAGAAAGTTGATTTTAGCTTGAATATTATCCATTGTCTATGGACATTATTATTTGTTTAGGTTGGTGTTACCTATAAATTTATGTTGTTAAAGGTTGTATAGAGGATTTTTTAAGGGAAGTGAAATACAGCGACAGTCCTTTTTCAAATGTTGTGACACCACCTTCCTCCTCCACAGCTCCCTCAGTAGAAACATCTCCTCCCGCCTCCTGACTCTAGAAATCACGCTTGTTTCCATCCAGTGCGCGTTCAGAACTACTGTTGAAATGACCTGTGTAGAAATATTTTAGAGACCGACGCATCAGTTTTTAGACCCTTCGTCTGCTTTAGTTGCGCCATCGCTGGAAGGAATCTCCAAGAATCACCTCAGTTTGTCTTCGCTCCTTTTCCCCTTCTCTTCTTCTTTCAGCGACCTCAAAAACGGACTTTCTTTTCGTGAACTGGTCGTGGATTCTCGTCCGCCATCGCGACAAACTTTGTGTGAACTGCGAGGAAGCTACAGTTTGAAAAAGCCTCCAAGAACCACTGTGTAAACCACATAATCCCAGCGCGCCGGCGAATCACTTACACTAGAAACATAGGGAGTTTGATTGACGACCTAACAACCAATAGATAAAGAGGAAGCCTCGTTTTCTATTGGCTGATGTTTATTTGGCCTCAACACGTCCACAGTTGATAGATTTTCATTCTTTTTTTTTTTTTGGTCATCATAATTACAAAGCTGCTACGTCTCTGTAATGGTATTTTAAACTTTCACTGACAATTTGAAACAAAACAAAAAAATCCTCCATACAACCTTTAAGATTCCAGACCTTATGATGCAGGCCCAGAGACTGTCTATGTGTAGGCCTAATAAATACATATAACTGTTTTTGTATCAGTCTAATGTAAGAGTCTAGTTTTGAAAACAAGAGCTCACCAAATAATAATGATAAAGTCTTCCAAAATGCATTCCAGTGATTTTATATAGTAAAGGTCTCCCATATAAAAATCAAAATCAGTACAAGCTTTTAAAACGTAAAATGCGGGATGTTGGTTCTTTGATTTAAAGCGCTACACTGGGGGTTTACACTATTACACTATGTACAATGTTCGTTGTAGCATTTAAAGCCCTTTAAATGCTTTCCAGCCAAAAATACAAATTGAAAGCATGTTTTTATTATTATTTTGGATGTTTTAATTGCACTGAAAAGCATGCGTCTTTACTGTGAGCAGGGCTTGCATTTCCACAAACCTGACTCTTACCTGCCTGTAGGTAAAAGGCTCCTCTTGCTTGTCTCCATGGATAACACTCCTTTCTTCCCACTCCTTTTTGGGCCATTTATTTTTATTTTTTTATTTCTGACATGATTTCATTGATGTTATATGTTCCATTGTAAAATAATGTACATTTCTTATTTGCACAAAATAAATACATACATCTCAATCTCTCTCAAAACATATCCACTGTATGGTATTAAATGAATCTGTCTCCATGGATAAAGTTCCAAAGTATGGCTTTTTTATTTCAGCTGAATCATGGTGATGGCATAGAACTTAAACAGCTTTTAAAGTAGCTGAGTGTGGCTTTAATAATAGTGACTTTATTGATGCAATGACCTGGACCTTACTGATACAGATGGGTGTTACTTATTAATTAATTTTGTTATGATTCTGATCTTAAGCTGTATTAAATATAGTGTGTATACAAAGTTCAAATGAAGAAAAAATTATTGAAAATGTAATTTGTTTCAATGTATTTTCGAGTCTAGGTTTAAAAACAGGAGCACTCCACATAAAATAATAACAATAAAGTCTCCCAAAATGCATTCCAATGATTTTATTTAGTAAAAGTCTCATACATAAACATCAAAATCAGTTTACGTTAAATACAAACTTTTAAAATGCAAAACATGTCTCAGATTCGACCGATGATGAAATCCAACTGAAAAACATGACTTAGATACATCTCATTATAAATACATTTATATTTCATGTTCAGGTTTTTAATGCAACAACCAAAAAGTTTTAAATGCAATCCATTTTACCACACACTGAACCTCGTTATGTTTAATATGAACTGGACCTTCGAGCTTATACTTTTCTGTTCGCATTCAGATTAGAAATTGAGACAAAACAAGATAAAAAATGTAATAAAATGGCACTGAAATAATATACTGAGGCAGACATTGGAGAGTACATGTCACAGTCCGAATTTTACAACTAGCTGCCTTAGTGAAAAATGAGTTTGTACTGATTCTTCTTGTTTATTTTCATAGTTACTTCATTTTTATTATGATACAACCAGTGTTGGGAAGGTTACTTTTAGAATGTATTCCCCTACAGATTACATATTACATACCCCAAAATGTAGTTTGTAACGTAATCCATTAAATTACTTAAAGTGAGTAACGTAATCTGAATACTTTGGATTACTTGATATTGTCATGCTTTTTAAAACTGCATGAATGTACCAACCACATCCTGAAAATTCAAGTTTGTTCTCTTCAAATTGTCTGTTGAGCCCAAGTCTCCATGAACAGACTTTTGTTTTACTGTAGAGAAGCAAAGACGAGGATCTTAACATGAGATATTTTGTCTGCTTAAAGACAATAAAAAGCCCAGTCTTTCCCTAAACATATTAAAAATATTATTGATAGAGAAATGTTTTCTATATGAGATCGCTGCTGCCTTAAAGTATGTCCACCCTACTGTTAGGTGTCATATTGTTTATTAAAAAACAAAAACCTTTCAGTACAAACATAAAGGTGCCAGCTACTCAAAATGATGCAGAATCAGATTATTAACAACGACCATTATTAACAACATTGTCCATTGTGTAACTGACGGCACCAATATGAACAAGATGTTTACACAGCTCTTATGGTGCATGCTCTGTTTGGGTTTCCGGCAATGAGTGGAATTACCAAAAAAATTTATTTAAAAAATGGGATAAAGCCCAAAATGTGAAAACAGAAAAATACCACCATGTAATCCATTTATTTCAACAAAGTAATTGTACCACTCACTGAAACAGTAACTAACTGAATACAGTTACTCATAATTTGTACTCTGATTATGTAACGCCGGTACATGTAATCTGTTACTCCCCAACACTGGTTACAACCACATTATTAGTAAAAGAATAATGCCACAGAGTGTGTACTTAACATCAGTGCAAATAAACATGTGTTTTTTTGGTCATTTTATTTTCCATGATTAAATTTCAGACATAGAATTGTGCTAAAATGCTGGTATTTTTACTAAACTGTTAAGAGTATCCTACTGCAAGCCTCAAGTCTGGACGACCTTTTAAATCATAGACTGCAGTGACCTCTACTGTCCAATGTCTGCGCTGCATCAGAACGTAAAATATACAGTGAATTATATCACAGATACACTGGTGCTTTTCCCCATAACATGATCCGTTTTCTACAGCAGTCCAAAGTACATCTGCCCTATTCTCTACAATGAGCCGAAGTGTGCAGGTTAAAAATACTGAGAAACCCGCGTGTGCACAACACTGACACTGATCTACCTTTGTCTGGTTACATAAAAGAGTATGGTAGTATGGTATTTCCATAAGACCTTCCATAGATATCATTGTAAAACAATCCAAGCTACAACTAGAGTGATGAGTACATTGCAATAACCAACAAATATCATAGACAGTAGTAGAGTATATATAGGAATGAGAGTCTTATCAAAGCTGTGGAGACATGAACGTGACTGGTACAATAGTTATAATGTACGGACCAGTACAAATACTCATGGTATCTACACTGTGTGGAGTGAGACACATGGCTTAGCTTACACCTGGTATATTTGTGGACTTACAAATATTTGGAATAAAACATCAAATGATGCATCGTCACAATGTATAATATAAAACAAACTGGGCCCATGATGAGCAGTATCCTGGGGAGTCACATTTCATTCAGAATCAATACATTTCAGTTTTAATACCAAATAAATTATACTTTCCAAGTTCAATGACAAAACTGTAATTTAGAACAGTTCCTCACATAAAAAAGGCTTTTGGTAATACATTCATTTTAAAGCATTTTATGCAGAGACTATAGATGTCTCTAGAGAAGCTTAAATCCAGTGTCAGAAGCAGGCAGATCTAAATCTACATTACACACCTTCACAAAACCAAACACTAAGCTAACAGGGATAGGTATTATTTCATCATTAATAGATAGTGGCTTCAGCTACTCAATTTTCATTCTCAATTACAACATAATGACTTTGAGGGAGATTTGGCACAAACAGCATTTACATCAAATTCTGACTAAATAAAACTGTACTATTTCAGGCAGTGGGTCCTTTTAAGGAAAACCAAGAGTATGCCAGACACTTTACACTGGGTGAAAGTACAACAAAACGGTATAAAAAAATAAATGCAGTTTCATGTCTTTACACCTGCTTTACTGTAGAGTATCAGATGTAAAGAGACAGGGTGAGAGCTCACCTGGAGTTGGACAGAGACAGAGTCCAGGTGGAGCCACAGTCTATGGGAGGAACAGATGGAGGTGACGACAGTGACGCAGGTTTCTTTGAGCTACACAAAGTTTAAGTCTTCAGACCTTTGCCTAATGTTCCTCTAGAAGCAGCTGGTTCTGATGGACAAAATCACACACAACAACAGCGAAGTTCATATTAAAAACAGTGTTGGGAAGGTTACTTTTAAAATGTAATTCCCCTACAGATTACAGATTACAGACCCCAAAATGTAGTTTGTAAAGTAATTCATTAAATTACTTGAAGTGAGTAACGTAATCTGAATACTTTGGATTACTTACAGTCTTTACTTGACCATATTCAAAATATTATTGATAGAGAAATGATTTCTATATGAGATCACTGCTGACTTCAATTATATCTAATATTATTCAATATTAGTTTAGACCTGGTTTAGTCCTGGTTTTAGTTCTGGTTTTAGTCCTAGTTTAGGACTAAACTAGGACTAAAAGCAGGACTAGTTTTAGTCCTGGTTTAATCCTAGTTTTAGTTCTGGTTTTAGTCCTGGTTTTAGTCCTAGTTTAGTCCTGGTTTTAGTCCTGGTTTTAGTCTTGGTTTTAGTTCTAGTATAGTCCTGGTTTTAGTTCTGGTTTTAGTTCTGATATTAGTTCTGGTTTTAGTCCTAGTTTAGTCCTGGTTTAGTCCTAGTTTAGTCCTGGTTTTAGTCCTGGTTTTAGTCCTAGTTTAGTCCTGGTTTAATCCTAGATTTAGTCCTGGTTTAGTCCTAGTTTAGTCCTGGTTTTAGTCCTGGTTTAGTCCTAGTTTAGTCCTGGTTTTAGTCCTGGTTTTAGTCCTAGTTTAGTCCTGGTTTAGTCCTGGGTTTAGTTCTGGTTTTAGTTCTGGTTATAGTCCTAGTTTAGTTTTTTTGGTTTAGACTAAAACAGGAAAATCCCGCCGTGTAATCCATTTATTTCAACAAAGTAACTGTAATCCAATTACCACTCACTGAAACAGTAACTGTAACTGAATACAGTTACTCATAGTTTGTACTCTGATTACATAACTCTGGTACATGTAATCTGTTACTCCCCAACACTGATTAAGGAAGAATCTATTGTGTTATAAAGTTATAATCTATGACATCTGTGGATCATCGTGTTATAATTTACACATTTAAAATTGCAATATTCATCTACAATTTTGTAATAAAAGAAACAAGTCAAACTGCGCCGTGTGGCTGTCGGCGTCTCGTATTAACAGCAGCACCTCACACTAACGAGCAGCAGATTATTAAAAAATATTATAAAAATAACTGCGATGCTGCTGAATCCTACGCACATCACTGATTAATAAAACTTAACTGGAGAACAAAGTAAGTACAAAGCTCTACTTGAGCAGCAGTTTCCCAAATACTTTTACACTCTTACTTGATTTGATCGATTGATTTATGTATTTATTTTGGGCAAGTAAGAAATATATATTTTTTAACAATGGAACACATAACATTAAGTAATTCATAGCAGAAATAACATCAACAAAAAATAAATAAAAATAAAAAAGGAGTGGGAGGAAGAAAACTTATTTAATCCCACCCCACTCTTCTAATCAAACACAGTGAGCTTTCTTTACAATTTTTCAGACATTTTACATTAAACTATATGAACTATTTACAAGTGCAGACAAAGAGTCACTGTTGTTTGAGTAATTTCTTATACCACTATTTTGTAATTCTACTTGAGTAATCTTAAAGTAATATTATTTTATAGTAATGATACTCTTATTTAAACACAATTTTGACTACTTTACATACCTCTGTTTACTATCAGTATTATGTTAAAACTCTCTGTAATTAACATGTTAGTACTTTACTGTTCTATAGCTTATGTAAAGATGCCTGACTGTCATTTTTATATTAAAAGCTCTATATACAGTGTACTGTATTCTTATTATACTATATTATATCCTGTATGTTCAGCAAACAGAGTGCCTTATTATTATTATTATTATTATTATTATTATATTAAGCTTACCTTACTGTCAGAGTTCTGGAGGTCACTGTCCTGCTCTCCGTCTGACCCGCTCTTCTGCTCCTCCTCTTTTCCGTCTTTCTCGTCTTCCTCAGAAAGACGCGACTGCTTTGACTTCTGTAGCACAGAAACAACAGAGCAGAGTGACAGGTGACTGGATCACAACTTTTCTTTACAATCTAATACTTCACTTAGATAAAGAGTTTTGATGTAAAGTGAGTAAAGCACAAAAGACCTTGACCTTGTGTTGGTGTTTAGTTACAGATGAGTAAAAGCAGCATCTCTGTTTCAAACACTGACCTATATTAAAATGTTTGCACTTAAACATGCAGCACAGGGGAGGCTCCCTGAATGCACCGCAGGTCCCTGAATGCACCACATGTGCAGAGTGTGATGGAGCCCAGTTGCTAGGCAACAGCGGTTGCTAGGAGAGGAGTGAGATGTGACTTTTTGGACCTGCCGCGGTGTTCCTCTGTACAGTACTCTGCAGTGCACCAGGGAGCGCACTAATGGAGACATGTGAATGGGAGAATTGCAGAGTGAATGTGCAGGAGATAAAGGGTTAAGTTAGTTTGATGGAGTTCACACTGGGCTTTATTAGACAGCGTCAGCCAACCCCAGTGTCTGCACATTTAATATGAGCTTTAAGGTTGTCAAATAACATATGCACTGAATAAGCAGTATTGACTTTGAGGAGGAGGGTTGACTTCTCTCTGTAACCTGTTTCAGAAGAGCGGTGCTGCCCCAGGACTCTGCACTGTGATGCACGGGGCTCTGGGGACCAATAAACTCCACACTATAAGAAATATGGCACCAGGGCTGGAGGCCTTCAGCGAGAGCTATTCTCTTATTCAAGTGAATACATTTAATCTTATGCCACAGCCAATAACTTTCAGAACCATTTGCATAGAGACATTTTTAGTTAGTTTGAAGGGGCATTGTGTAACTTTTCTGGCCGAGGGTTCGTCAAATGCTTTTCTCCACGCAAATGTTATTGCTTTGCCAGGAATAGTTCACAGTATGGTATTAAACCGTTCTATCTTCAAGGAGACCAAACCAGACAAAGTTACAAGTCAGATCTGTGGAGAGGTACCCCGCTCACAGCCAGAATATCTGTTTTTCAAGGTATATTAGAGCTATAAAACCACCTGTGATTGAATAAATATAAAGTAGAGCTGTTTAATATCATTTTAATGGCTAATTGCACAAAAAAAGTGCTGGACCTCCAACCAAACAATATACTAAACATATCTTTAATCACAGTGTCCTGACACTAAAGTGGTCTGCCTGTATTTGCCGTTAGTGCCCCAGCAGCTTGGGTACACTGAAAGCTCTTTGGTTTACTTTGTTTGGCAGATTTGGTCAGTAATGTAAATCTTCTGAAGTTCAATCCCGGACTCTTTACTTGAGTGTGTAATGTAATATATAAACTTACCTTAGCAGAGCCAGACTTTTTCCGCTTGGAGCCGCTCTTATCGGTCTGGATAGTCTCTGTATCTTCCTCCTCTTCCACAGAGTCCCCCTCTTCTCCCTCTTCTCCCTCCTCTCCTTCACTGCTGCCGTCCGCTGCGTTTCCTGCGTCCTCTGCCTCTGACGAGCTCTGCATCACCTGTGGGATCAGCGCTCTGGGTTTATGAAGTGCACTACGTAACTTTCCACCACTTGATCGTCTACCAGAGATGTCATTAACCCTATGCCTGCAATTTTCCACAGCATGGCATTAAGCTTATCTATCTCCATGGAGACAAACAGCTCATGTGACCAGGTCAATTTACAGCTCAGATCTGTGGAGAGGCGACGCAGTAAGAATGCATGTTTTTCATTCAAGGCATTTGCCCTCAAAACACATGTAACTTATCAACTGCAAAATAGATATGTATAATGCCATATTGTTTGTTTGTTTTCTTTTTAACCTTTGGCTACGTTTTTTTGATGACAGTTTGGACAGAAGACTCAAAAGTGGCGTCGCGTCTTCACTTTTTATTCCGTGTTTAGACGAGCGTTTTCACAAAAATATGTGTAATTCGATTGGGTATGTTTGTTCTTAAAGCAACAAGAGCATCTTTGGACATACAGAAGTTTTCACGTCACGCATTTTCATCAGCTCCTCCTTCCACAAAGTTGTCCCACCATCGACTGGTTCTCCAGGTATCGTCCATAACCGTCTGACTCACCTGCGACGAACTGGTGCATCCAGAATTTGACAGAGGTGATTGCAGATCCTTCTCTGTTCACTAATAATATCTCTGCATATTCTGTACATTTTTTGGGAGCCTCCTGTAAGTTTATTAGAGCTGCCAGAGCACGGAAATGATCCGACATGTTTGTTTCTGTGTACTGTATGTATGTGACGTAAACGTGTACGTGACGTGAGCAGATCTGACCAGAGTTTTGCATCTTGGGCAGTGTAGACGGAAACACTACAGTGGAGCGGATTCAACTTTTCCACTCTGGAGTGACATTTTTGTGTTTTTAAGCCCTTCTAAACAAAAGGCACTTCCGATAAACTTTTTTGTAATTTTTACCCGCAAGCATTCTCGTGTAAACAGGCCCTTAATTTAATTAGCAAATCCCAGATTCAGAATTAGACTCAGAATCTCTTTTTCACGAGAGACCTGACCAAGGCAAAAACACAATTAATCTTAAATTTAATCTGTATATTCTTGCAACAAATAAAAACAAAACAATTAAACGTAATTCCCTATTATTTAGGGGCTCTGGCCAGGTGATAAAAATAAAATGATCATCATAGCAGGACAAACTAATATCGTGTTCAAGAAGGCCTTAGGCGCAGATTGGCAGCCATGTTCCCATCAGACAGCCCCAGGGCAGCAGTGGCTTTAGAAATACCCCACCTTCCTTGTATGGAGATTTAACATGTTGTTGTACATGTCAAGCTTGCAAATCCCAATAAAAAACATTATTATTTGTTTAATTAGTAGATTTAATAGATTTTGGTTTCGCTTGCTTCACAATACTGATTTGTCTTTCATTTGTGTGAGCTGAAGTGAAGCTTTCAGAGTCCAGACTGTGCCCCTGTGCATTCATTCCCTTCGCCTGTTTGCCTCATTAGACTGACCTGATACCCCGTGAACTTGACTCCGGGGTTGTTCTCGATCTCCCACAGGCCCTCATTGAAGCCTTTCCTCTTGTTGGACTTGCCAAATTTGTCTTTGTAGTCTTTGTAGGGGAGCAGATCCTTTGGGCCCAGAAAAGCACTACGGCAAGAAAAAAAATAAAAAAAATAAAACCAGGAAGACATACAATTAAAATGAACTAAAAATAAAACTAAAATCTATTTAAAGCGCATCTGACAGGGTTTATGATTCTCTAATTATGACTTAATTTAGTGGAATAATACATGTTGTAAATATAAATTACAGTTTTATAACAATCAAGAAACAATTTGCGAAAAAAAGGTGAAAAATATGTTCCCAAACGAATCACATCACACTAGGGAGAGTGCTGTCCAAATAATTTGTCAGAATTTACACATAAGAAACACATTTTTTTCTGACACTCTAAACCTATTTTTAAAGAAAAACAAATATTTTTTATATTTGTATTTGTTAAATAAAAATTTCGAGTTTTGGGCCATTGTACCACATGGTTGCTTGGTAACATTAATGAAATTTCTGAGCAGGACGTCATGATTTCCAACAAGGAAATTAGTAAAATTTGTAAAATAGTAGAATTAAAAACCTACAAATTGGCCAAACTGGGAAAAAAAATACTGAAATGTCATCTTGAATTTGAAATACAATCAGCTTAAAGGTGCATTGTGTAACTTTTCTGGTGGAGGGTCTGTTAAATAAATGCTTTTCTCAATGGAGATGTTATTTCTTTGTCTGTAATGTTTCACAGTATGGCATTAAACCTTTCTATCTTCATGGAGACCAAACCAGATCAAGTTACAGGTCAGATCTGTGGAGAGGCGACCCCGCTCACAGTCAGAACGCCTGTTTTTAAGTATTTTTGAGCTATAAAACCACCTGTAATTGAATAAATCTGAAGTAGATTTATGACAGATCCCCAACCAAAAAGTTACATAGTGCACCTTTAAATGTGTTTTGGTAAAATCGGAGAAATCCAGTCTGTCATGGGCACTATAACAACAAATCATAATGCAAACTCAGCAATTTATGTGGCAAGCAATGAGTTAAAACAGATGAATATTTAAAGGTCAGAGGCTGCATACTTGAGTTGTGTGGATGTGTAAACAGTGGAGTTGTAATGGGTGGATGGTTTGGTATAAATGGCCTTAAATGGAAGGAGGAGTGATATCACGCTTACGTTTCATGTGTTCCAAAGAAGAAGATTGGATATTTGTTGGCGGGAGGCTTCACTGCTCCTTCAGGAAGTTCGTCAATCTGAAAAAGACGAAGGACAAATGTTATTGTTGTTATGGTTATTAAAGGATTACGCAAAATTGACTCTTGTGAGCTTTAAACCATGTTAGAATGTTGTTATTTTGTCAAAAACATAGCTGGAGTTGTGTTTTGCTTGAGTAATTCTTTATTATTAATTTCTCTACATCTCCAAACCTCAAAATGCTCTGCTCCACCTTGTGATGTCATGAAGCGGTAGTTTTCAAGTTAACATCTACCTTTTGCTTTTAGTTCAGAAGACATCGCCAATTCCAGGGATAAAATTATCCAAAATGATTCTAGTCAAGGTGTAGGAGTTTAAAAACGCAGTGGAGCACTCCCTGTATCACCACATGACATCACAAGGTGGAACAGTGTTTTCTATATGAGTGAAAACATCCTGAATATGCAGTGTTTGTGCGTATTAAACATGATTAAATAAAAAAAAACACAACTCCAGGTATCAGGGTTCCCACTCTTTTTCACTGACAACATTTCAAAACTTTTTCATGACTTTTTCATGACCTAAAGTGAATTTTCCATGACTTTACAGCACCTTACATGTGAAGACTTGAGCATAATTTTAGGGCTAAATCTGAAATGTTAACACTTTCCACTCACCTTATGGTTTGGTGTTATAGTTTTTTTAAAATAATGTCAGTACATTTATTGTCGTCTCTTTTAAACAAACAAATGAAATAATCATAATACCCTAATGATAACTTTTAACAGAATGCTGTGGTTGTGTGAAAGAGATACTAAAACTCCATGACTTTTCCAAAACTTTCATTGAATTGACAAAACTCCATGACTTCTCCAGGTCTGGAAAATGACATTTTCAATTTCAGTGACTTTTCCAGCACTGTGGGAACCCTGAGGTATGTTTTTGATGAGGAAATGAGGAAAAAAAAACATAGTATCACAACAAAATGAAGTACCACAGTTGAATTGGTTTGATACTGGATATTCAGCACATTCAAATTTAACAAATGAATGATTTAATGCATATTTGTGAATTGTGAACAAACAACTTATCACATCTTCATAATCATCCAGGGTATATACCACAAGACAGTAATTATTAAAAAAAAAAATCATTGACCACTGACCATTGTTGATTTTTCTTTCCTTACCAGAGGGGCACCAACAATTTCGTCCACATCTGTACATCACAAGTTTTTTTTTAATAATTACTGTTTTGTGATATACACCCTGGATGATTATGAAGACATCACAAGTTGTTAAAAAAAAAAAAAAATCAATGATTATAAGTTAAATGTCTTTGAATGTGTCAAATATCCAATCTCCAATATCAAACCAATTCAACTGCGGTAAATAAAGTTACATAAAGCCCATGATTAGTGGTTTAAATGGTAATTAGCACGGTTGTTTGCAATGTATTTAACACTTTACTGGATATTCGACACGTTCAAAGATTTAACGATTCAATGCATATTTGTAAAATCATACTACACTATGAGCTGATTTAATGCATATTTGTGAATTCAACACTTATTTAACATTTCTTTTCAAACAACCTGTCACATCTTCATGATCATAAGTACTAATTATTAAAAAAAAACATTGACCATTGTTGATTTTTCTTTCCTTACCAGAGGGGCACCAACAATTCCGTCCACATCTGTACATCACAAGTTAAAAAATGACTGCTGAATTCACAAATATACATTAAATCAGCTCATAGTATGATTTTTTTTTTAATAATTACTGTTTTGTGATATACACCCTGGATGATTATGAAGACATCACAAGTTGTTAAAAAAAAAAAAAAAATCAATGATTATAAGTTAAATGTCTTTGAATGTGCCAAATATCCAATCTCCAATATCAAGCCAATTCAACTGCGGTAAATAAAGTTACATAAAGCCCATGATTAGTGGTTTAATTGGTAATTAGCACGCTTGTTTGCAATGTATTTAACACTTTACTGGATATTCGACACGTTTAAAGATTTAACGATTCAATGCATATTTGTAAAATCATACTACACTATGAGCTGATTTAATGCATATTTGTGAATTCAACACTTATTTAACATTTCTTTTCAAACAACCTGTCACATCTTCATAATCATAAGTACTAATTATTAAAAAAAAACATTGACCATTGTTGATTTTTCTTTCCTTACCAGAGGGGCACCAACTATTTCGTCCACGTCTGTACATCACAAGTTAAAAAATGACTGCTGAATTCACAAATATACATTAAATCAGCTTATAGTATGATTTTTTAAATAATTACTGTCTTGTGATATATACCCTGGATGATTATGAAGACATCACAAGCTGTTGAAAAAATAAAAAATAAAAATCAATGATTAGAAGTTAAATGTCTTTGAATGTGTCGAATATCCAATATCCAAAATCAAACCAATTCAACTACAGTAAATGTTAGGGGTGAAAAAAAAAATTGATTAGGTCATCGTGATCGTGATACTTCACTGCACAATTCTTTTAAAATTTTCACAAAAATTCATTAGTTAGATTCACCGTTCTCATGATTTTAAAATAAAAAAATATATCTCATACAATTGTGTTCTCTTGAAGGTGTAGTTGACTGTATTATTAGAAGTAATTATTCATAAATCGCAATATCCGGAATATATCGTGATATACTGAATCGTGACATGCGCATCATGATATGTATCGTATCGTCAGACTCAAGGCAATGCACACTGCTAGTAAATAAAGTTACATAAAGTCCATGATTAGTGGGTTAAATGGTAATTAGCACGCTTGTTCGCACAGTAACACAACTATGCAATGTATTTAACACTTTATTTACCCTGATGACGATCTAAACGCTGCAATGCAAAACTCTGAAAGTGCGTATTGTTTTTGCGATTACAGAATCCACTTAGTTTTTCTAGTTTCGTTATTGTGCATTAATAATAAACGTGGGGGCATGTGCATAGGTTACTTGAGGTCAACTAGCAGCGTTGTCGAGTCGCCTTTTTAACTCCTAAATGATGCAAAATTATAAATAGGAGTTGCGTTTTGCACGACGATACAAAAGCGAATTGCGCAAAAAGTAAATTGCACCGTAACCAAGGAAACGTACGAGGATTTTTTACTGGGAATGCTAATTTGGGTAATTGTAGCTAGCAGCTCACGATCCGTACGCTTCCAGACACAAAATCGCGCTATTTCTGCAAAAATAAACCTTAATATTCGTCTTGGGGTAAGGTTATATCGTTGCAGGGTCCGCGGGAGGAGAGCGGCGGTGTCTCGTGCAGCCTCCCCGCCTCCGCGCGCCTCGAGCCCGGCTACATCCCAGACTCACCCTCGCTGGCCAGTGTGGGTATCCTTTCATTTTCGCGAAAACCAAATCTCCTGCCTTGTATTCCCGCGGTCGTGGTCGTGCCATGTCTCTGTCTGGGTGAGGAAAAAACCCGCTTTCGGCTCGGTAGGTTTTCAGATTTAATCCCTTTTCACGATCCCGTCTTCTGTGGCCCCGTGATGCAGTCAGCCACGGTGGAATTATTGACCATGAATGTTTTTATATCAAGACTGCAGTTTACACGGAAATAAATAATTAAAAAAGGCGGAAAACGAAGCCTGGATGTGTGGGCTATCCGTTTACGCACGAAATCAGGTGTAAATGGGATCGTGAATGGCTCCAGTGAGAGCAGCAGCAGCAGCAGCAGCAGCAGCAGCAGCAGCAGCACCTGAAGAGAGGATGCTCCAGAAATTCAACTAATATCTGCACAACTGTGGCGTAAAATAAATACAGACTTTTGCACACAAGCAGCCATTTTGATTTCACACGCATATAAATAGACTTCTCTTGTATTTTGAGTTTTTCGCAGTAGTTGTGTGATGCAAAACCACCAAAAGTCAAACATTCATGGATCGATAAGAAGATTTTTATCAAACTTGTCAACAACAAATTCAAGAAATATTATTATTATTACCAGCAGCTGTGTTTCCCTAGATACTTTTACTTTTTACATTATTGTATTTATTTGTTTTATTGTTATTTATAAGGGAGGGGGTCCTCAGCGTTGGGGACTTGGACTTGGACTCGAGTCAGACTTGAGTCACTAGTTTTAGGACTTGAGACTTGACAAGACAAAGACTTGGGACTTGACTTGGACTTGAAGGTCAATGACTCGGACTTGAGACCTGTGACTTGAGAAGACTTGCTGCTTCCCCTAAAAATATACATGTTTTTATAAAATACTCAGTGTTGGGGAGTAACAGAACCGGAGTAACATGTACCGGAGTTATGTAATCAGAGTACAAATTATGAGTAACTGTATTCAGTTACAGTTACTGTTTCAGTGAGTGGTAATTGGATTACAGTTACTTTGTTGAAATGAATGGATTACACGGAGGTATTTTCCTGTTTTCACATTTTGGGCTAAACCAGGACTAAACCAGGACTAAACCAGGTCTAAACCAAGTCTAATCCAAGTCTAAACCAGGTCTAAAAACAGGTCTAAAACCAGGTCTAAACCAAGTCTAAACTAGGTCTAAAACCAGGACTAAACCCAGGTCTAAACCAGGTCCAAACCAAGTCTAAACCAGGTCTAAACCAGGTCTAAACCAGGTCCAAACCAGGTCCAAACCAGGTCTAAACCAAGTCTAAACCAGGACTAAACCAGGTTGAAACCAGGTCTAAACCAAGTCTAATCCAAGTCTAAACCAGGTCTAAAACCAGGTCTAAACCAGGACTAAACCAGGTCTAAACCAGGACTAAACCAGGTCTAAACCAGGACAAAAACCAGGTCTAAACCAGGTCTAAACCAGGACTAAACCAGGACTAAACCAGGTCTAACCAGGTCTAAACCAGGACTAAACCAGGCTCTAACCAGGACTAAACCAGGTCTAAAACCAGGTCTAAACCAGGACTAAACCAGGTCCAAACCAGGTCCAAACCAAGTCTAAACCAGGACTAAACCAGGACTAAAACCAGGTCTAAACCAGGTCCAAACCAAGTCTAAACCAGGTCTAAACCAGGTCTAAAACCAGGTCTAAACCAAGTCTAAACCAGGACTAAACCAGGACTAAACCAAGTCTAATCCAAGTCTAAACCAAGTCTAAACCAAGTCTAATCCAAGTCTAAACCAGGTCTAAAACCAGGTCTAAACTAGGTCTAAAACCAGGTCTAAACCAAGTCTAAACCAGGACTAAACCAGGTCTAAACCAGGACTAAACCAGGACTAAACCAGTCAGTGTCTCCTCGTCTTTTATCAATAATATTTTTAATACAGTTAACTAAAGTCTGGGCTTTTTATTTTCTTTTATCAGACAAAACTTCTTATGTGAAGATTTCCTCGTCGTTGCTTCTCCACAACTAAAACAAACAGGGCGAGCAGTGATCCAGCCGAGCCTTTTTATTTGATGTTTTGGCTTGTCTCGTTTCGTTATATTGCCGGCTGTTGCCTCCTTTAGTTCTTTGAGACTCCTTTTTGTTCGCAGTACAACTTGAGTTAGATTTTGTCATGTTGTACTTAGTCAGGGCTCCTTAGTTATTAGATTATTTAGTTTAAATCCTTTTTATTTTCTCCTTAAATGCCAATTTTTTTGTTCTTTCCTACACTGTTAAACCTTAAACATCCTGGTTTTATTGTTACTTCCCTTTCTCCTCTAGCAAAGGGGACGTAACAGTCAGTGAATCTAACAATGATGTTTATGTTGAGAGTGGGATTCAAACCGCCAACCTTTGCATCAGTGGACAAACACTACCAACTGAGCTACTGCTGCCCGACTTTAAGTAAGTAACCTTAAGTTCACAACGGCAGAGACTACAACAAATGTCACAAGTTCTATATAATTATGTCTATTATAAGAAATAACTTGAACTTTTAATCTTTGATACATACATTTTATAAACAGTTTATTAAAAACCATCATCTCCTCTTGACGTTTGCGTTTTTGCCGTGACAGTTTCACATTGCTTCATCAGAATCCTTGTTATCTTCGCCAGTCTTCTCTCCTCGTTTTGCTTCGGAAGACTCGGCGGCGCCCTCTACCCGCTCGTCCTGCATCATCCACGGACCCTCCAGGATGCGGGGGATGCTGGTCCGATGCGCCACGTTTGGGTGAAGTATGAAGAATCAGCTCCACGGCCTCGAGTGAGACGTGGGGCGTGTCTGGGAAATTTATGTGGCGTGTCATTTTAACGTGCGCCATCTTGAGAGCTCTCGTTGAGGAGAATGGAAAGGCGTCGTAGAGCATTTTAAACAGGATTACCCCCATGCTCCAGACATCAGTCACTACGGGGTTGTATGCTAAACTGCGTAAGATCTCTGGAGCGATGTAGTTACTGGTGCCGCAGCAGGTTTTGCTTAAATCCGGTTGTCCGTCTGTGTAGCTCAGTCTCTTGCTCAGGCTGAAGTCACACACTTTAATGTTGTTATTTCGATCCAAAACTAGATTTTCGCATTTCAGATCTCGGTGCACGATGCCGATTCCGTGGAGATACTGAACGGCGTCGCAGAGCTGGACGAAGACTCTTTTACTGAACTCCTCAGACAGTGGGCCTTTGGCTTTTATGTGCTTAGAAAGGTCTCCGATGTCGCACAACTCCGTCACCACAAACACCTGAACATGAATGACAACAAAAGCGGATGTTAAATAAGACAGATTTTTTAAAGTTTATGTAACACCTGCTTAATAATATTAGGCTAGGGCTGTAGACTAGGTTCTGGAGGAGTAATATAAATGAGAGAAGATTTAAAGTTGAACAGCCGGCAGGTTTAATACAATTCAACAATGGCACAGTAAACCAGTGCAAATGACAAAGGTGTTGAGCTCTTTGAAAATAAAATAAAATAAAGTTAGGAATGCTAAATGTCTTTTGGTACTTGGTCCTGAGGTGCAAGACTTGGGATTGTTTGAAAGTGTCTTTTCCAAAATGTGATTGGTTGTTTCTTATCTGGGATCCAGTGATTTAAGGGAGTGGTCAGGTCTGAAGATCTTTTCTTGAAACCCCAAGCAGCTGGCCACTCTGCTCCAGGATTCTTAAGGAGTTCTCACTGGGTCTGGCTCGCCATCACCGTCAGCACTGTACTCCAAGATCAGTTCCAGGACCACTAAAAAAAACAGTCTGCACATACAGTACAGAACAATGAATAAAATTAATTTCAACAATAGTTTCTAAATAAAATGAGATCTCATAAAATGTTCTAAATCAATTACATCGTTGTGTTACATTGATCCCTTCACGTGCAACTTAGCAAGAGAGAATCCTGCTATTTTGTCATAGTTTAGTAACTCACCGGAGTTTCCAAGAAAACAACCACTCTCCACTCAATCAGAATTGGGAGTAAGACACTCTAAATGCTCTGTAAAGTACACAACCTTAAATTAGAACTGGTTTAAAGTACATTTTTTACACTTTCCAGACTGTTTGACTCACTGTATATCTTGTTCACATGCTCTCCGTGTCTCACTGCCGTCTCTAGCTAGGTGCAGGCCGCATGTGCACATGATACATTCAAGGAGCGTCCGAAATGAAAGTTTTACACGATGAAATATTAGAAACCATATGTTTACATGGGTTACACTTAGTATTAGACATGGGTCAATTTGTTCACCAACACAAGTCCATAGTTATAGTAAGTAAGGCTTCGTTCAGACTGCAGGACTTAACGCTCAATTCGGATTTTTTTTTCATGAAATCTGATGTTTTTGCGAGGTCGTTCACATTTCCAATTAAATGTGACTTGTATGTGACTCCAGTGTGAACATTAAACGGCCCAAAAGTGTCCTGCACGCGCACTGGAGGACGCGATGACGTCAACCGCAGCGAGCGTGCTCTGTGTTTATTGAAGTTGTCCAAACATGGACGCGAGCATTGAGCACCTGGAGATTTTAAAGTTCCTCTCGTACAGGAGCCAGAACATGAACAACTTACTTGTTTTAAGGAGGAGATTGAGAAGGAAAAGGACGAGGTTTTTGGCCGTGGTGTTTTGTGGGACAGCGGCAGCGACGTCTGTTGAAAGAAACGTGTGGATGCGGAGACGTAGCCAAGAGTGGTGAGTGGTGATGTGCTTCGCTTCAGTGACACGGAGTTCATTAACAACTTTTGTATGATGAGAAGAACGTTTGTGTACATTTGTGGCTTGTTGATGACGTGTAGGTCGGATGAATGCGCCTTGGCCGTTCAGACTGAAGTCGCATGTCAAAAGATCAGATATGTATCGGTTTTAGGAGCACATATCCAATTGGTCTGGGTTGCATTTGAAAAAATCGAATCTGTGTCATTAAAAGATCAGATACAGGTCACATAGGGGCCAAAAAATCAGATTTTGGTCACTTCAGGCTGCAGTCTGAACGCAGCCTAAGTAAGTTTTTTATTTATATAGCACTTTTCACAGACATATGTCACAAAGACACTTTACAGAGCATTATTCATTCACTCCACACTCGGTGGTGTTAAGTTACTATTGTAGCCACAGCTGCCCTGGGGTAGACTGACTGAAGCACGGCTGCCAATCTGCACCATCAGCCCCTCTGACCACCACCATCACTCACACACACACACCACTTTCATACTAGGCAATGTGGGTGAAGTTCCTTGCCTAAGGACACAACGACAATTTTTTTGTATTGCAATAGCGATTAGATTTGAAGACTGATGATTAAAAAGTTGGATTGATTTAGATTTTTTGATTTCATGTAATTATTTTGGGCAAGTAAGAAATGTACATTCTTTTACAATGGAATAAATAACATTAATGAAATCATAGCAGAAATAACAACAACAACAACAACAAAATAAAAAAAAAATTGGCCCAAAAAGGAGTGCAGGAGTGTTCAGAGTGCGTACTGTAAACAACTCCAGAAACATTTGATAGAAGACTGATATATGAACTGATATTATCGAGATGTCTAAAATATAATGTTTTGCTTGCTATTTATCATATGTAATCTTTTATTTACTTATTTTTTTTAATATAAAAGTGGGGCGGTTTGAGATATACTTGTTTATTGGGGTGATGCGTTGTTATTGTGTCAGTGGCGCACATTAGTTTCAATATTATAGTTTATCAGAGTATATTTCTGCAGCGATGTATCCTGCTTCAGATGTGTGTTATTGTGACAGGCCTATCAGTATGTGTCTTTATTCTGGGGTATGAACCTGGGGAAGGATAAATTGAATCATCAGCCTTTTTTAATGTCATATTTGTAGTCACCATAGCTGCTCTGTGTATGTGTGTGTGTGTGTGTGTGTGTGTGTGTGTGTCAAACCAAAGGAAAAGTTACAATTTCACATTTTTAACAAGTTTTACTCCAGCAGCACACCCACACAGGCAAGATATGTAATGTTTCTGCCCAAGGGTATGTAGGCAGTAAGTGGGAACAAACTAACATATTTTTGTTGATGGGAGAAGCATTACATCGCTATTATATTTGCTCTTAATAATATACATCCTATCTGTGACAAAACCTATAGTAAAATATCTTTTGGATTCAATATAGACACGCTCTTACCTTGCTGCCGCTCCCTTTAAATACGCAAAATGTTTTGATGACGTTCGGATGCTTCAGACACTTCATGATTTCTAATTCTCTGGGCAGAAACTTCTCCAGATAAATGGGCTCTGCGTTTTTCCTGTCTATGATCTTCACAGCAAAGTCCTGCCTCATGCGGTTCGAAGAGGCTTTCACCACTTTGCCGTATTGTCCCTCTCCAAGGATCTTCTGGAAGGTGAATCCATGTTTCTCCATAAACAGTTTATCCTTTAGTCCTAAACTCATGACGAAGCATCCAGCGTTGACACTGACTTTAACGCACAATGTTATTTTTTTAAAGAATAACTACATGATTACCTGGTAACACTCATTCCAGATGTTTTTATTCAAATTAATTCAGTCAGGGTAGATAAGAGGTGATTTTATATTATATTTTATGAGCAATTAAACAAATCTGCAGTTGCTGAAAGCCTGTAAGTGCCAAAGAGTCTGCTGCCCTCCAGCAGATGGCAGCATTTATCTATGCTCTATGCATCTATGCTATATAAAAGCAGAATTATGTTATATATAACACAGATTAACAAAAAAAAAAATTGTATTAGGTTTATGCAGAGTGAACATGCTGAGTTGCTGAAATTGGGACTGATCGTTAACAACAGTTTAGACGGTTTCCCTATTTGGGAATGAAGGGAATGACCCAGTCTTGAAACTTCCCTTGAGCGGTGAAGACCTGATTGAACAGGGCTGGGCAACTTTTGAAAGTCCCATCTAGATAAACCTGAGGACACTGGACCAGCACACAGAGATTTTCCTCTGTAGCAAACACCATAATTCCCCAATAGTTGTCCTGGTGCAAGAGGTAATCGTCATGCAGCCAGGTCTCTGCCCACTGGCCGCCAATGACGACATCCTGCACGTCTCCAGGTATAGGTGACATTTACTGGGATCTGGTTCTGTTTAGGATGGTCCTAAAAGAACAAAATGAATCCAAGGGAGGGGACGGTCACCTCCTCCCTGTCTGATTACATCTGCCACTGTTGCGTCTTATACCCTATAGCCGTACAGGGATGGCTGGGTTCTCCATGATCGATTTACGCATAGACTCGTCATCGAGACCATGTCCTTGTTCCTCTGATAAAATAATGTTTATCAGAGCATCGGGGCAGTGGCACAGAGCTGGACAAACAGTCGTCTGCTGCTTTCCTCAGGCAGCGGTCCTTCAGATTTTAGATACTCTGAGAGGTCTCCATTCTGGCATAGCTCCATGACCACAAAGACCTGCACATGGATGACAACAGAAAAATATATATAATACAGATTTTTTTTTTTTTTATTGTATTGAACATGGGGCATCCTTCTCCCCTCTCAAACTCTGCTCGCTCTCCTGTTAATCTTTTTTGGAATTTGGAGACCTCATCTTGAAGTTCCTGACTCTTCCTCCTCTCCTCTCTCTGCTGTACCTCAAGTATACTGATCATTTCTTTGTGCTTTTGGATGTGTCTGTCTTTTTTGACCAGTGTATTTTGCTTGGTCTTGTCCAGCTCTGCCTGTAGCTGCACAGTTCTACGGTTCATCTCCTGAATGATTTTGGAGAAGTTGATGGACTCTCGTCGAGCCCTCCACACTGCGGCTCTTTCCTCTCTCTCTGTCTCCATCTCATTTTGCAGAGTGTGGAGCGTCACCTCTGCCGCACTGAGCTGGTGTTTCAGCTCTTTCACCAGGATTATGTTTTTTTCTGAAGAACTTCATCTTGGAGCTTTGAGAAAATGCTGCTCAGTGGAATTCCAGGACTCATTAAAATAAATAAATGCAGATTCAGAAAAAAGAAAATTGAACTAAAATTGCAGTCATTTATCCTTTATTTAAGCAGGAGCATTTTAAACATGCCCAGGAACATTGACATTTGAGAAAAATAAAATATAAATCTATAGGGATGTAACAATAGCCAAATCTCTCGGGACGATATTTTCATGATATACATCTCACGGGACGATATTTATTGTGATATTTTGTGGACAAAACTGTTAGTATGCAACTTTTTCCTTCAAAGTGCTTAGAACTGTTATTTCTTCTTGTAGTCTGCACTGAAAAGGAGCAAAGGATCATGGTCTATGTAGTTCCCTCTGTCCTTTTTTAGCTGTTGTTGCACCATAACTCTTAATTTAAGCAAAGAGACTTGTAATTCAGTATATTGTGATGGTCCACGATATTATTGTGAGAACTTTGATGATACAATATCATGATATTTTAGTTACTGTTACATCCCTATAAACCTATGAATTCTACGCATTTCATTATATTTGTATTTGTTTATTTATTTCATTCATAAAGTATAAAAAGACATCAACAGTGTCACAACATCAAACATACAAGAAGAGAAATCTTATGTTATCTGCCCTCCTTTCTCTTTTCACGACAAAACATCAACACCGATGGTCACTAAACATTCCATATCAGTTCAGGCACAATTACTGATCAATTGCAAACAGTAATCTTCACTATCACGCACAACAATTTAGTTTTCTTTTTCATACATACACATTACATTTGATTTTATATTTTTTTAAATGTCATCATTGTACTTGATTCTTTTATTTCTTTGTCAAGATTATTCCATAAGTGAACTCCTTTCACAGTAACACTTCGCTCCATAACCTTGGTTCTGAATCTGTTTTTTTTGTTAAACATGTAGGTTCCTTTTAAATTGTAGTGGCTTGTTCTCATCTTGAACAATCTTTGAATATTTACAGGTAACACATTGCACTTTGCTTGATACACAGTGTTGGGGAGTAACAGATTACATGTACTGGAGTTATGTAATCAGAGTACAAATTATGAGTAACTGTATTCAGTTACAGTTACTGTTTCAGTGAGTGGTAATTGGATTACAGTTACTTTGTTGAAATAAATGGATTACACAGAGGTATTTTCCTGTTTTCACATTTTGGGCTATATCCACTTTTTTTTTTTTTTTTTTCTCGGTAATTCCACTCATTGCCAAACACTAAACCAGGTCTAAACCCAGGTCCAAACCAGGTCTAAAACCAGGTCTAAACCAGGTCTAAACCAAGACTAAAACCAGGTCTAAACTATGTATGATTTAACAGGACTAAACCATGCTGTGTGGACTGTGTCTCCTCCTCTTCTATCAATAATATTTTTAATTTGGTTGAGTAAAGTCTGGGCTTTTTATTTTCTTTTAGCAGACAAAACTAAAAAACATTTTATGTGAAGATTTCCTCGTCTTTGCTTCTCTACAGCAAATCAAGTAATCCAAAGTATTCAGATTACGTTACTCACTTTAAGTAATTTAATGGATTACGTTACAAACTACATTCTGGGGTCTGTAATCTGTAATCTGTAGGGGAATACATTTTAAAAGTCACCTTCCCAACACTGTTTATACATGATTTTGAGGATACTTAAGTCAACAATATCATGCATTTTCAACACTTCATATACTTGTCGAGGTCGAACCTACAGTTAGTAATGGACTATTCTAGTATTGATTTTGACTCAGCCTGTACGAATTTGGTGACTTAACCACAGTGAGTCTAGAGCCTGATAATCACACAGACACATTTGGTCGTAGCCATGACTGATCGTGCAGTGTCGGACAATTTACATTACTCACGTCGTGTAGTGTGACATCCAACAATCAGACAAAAAAAACTGCTGTGGACTTCGTAGTTTCTCCCAAGGACCGGCCTCCAGCAGAGCAGAGTCACAGGGAGTCAGCCTTTTTAGTATTGGAACAGTCTTCCTGAAGACGTAAGACAGTCCTCTGCTCTGACAATGTTAAAATCCAGGCCTGAAACAGTTCCATTTAGCTGCGCACATGACTGAGAGGATTTTATTCGTCTCTCTTCTCTTGTAGCATGTTGTCAGCGTCTTCAGAACTATATTGAAAACTTTAACTAAATTTAATCTTGTAATTCAGACTAAATCTCTATTTACGTGGTTGTAAAGATAAGAACATTTATTTTATTTTGTTTTATTTGTGGAAATCTCAATGTTTCAAAGCAGGAGAATAGAAAATAGACAAAAAAAACAAAAAACATTGCATTGAAGCGTACAGTTTCGGATGTAATGCTTTGTAAATAAAATGGCTAATCTATACATTTTTAATACACCTAAACTGAACATTTACATTTGTTCCATCCCCCTTTTGGCCAGCAGGAGGCACTACACACACACAAATCTCCCGGCCTTCCTCTAGTCATCTGTCCCCGCATATTTGTGTCCAGATGTTGCGCCAGTGTCATGTTGCGCCGTTTCAACATCAGGAACGCATTATCTCAAAGCACTTACCTGCCGCCCCTCCTCTCCTCTCTCCCCCTCCCTCCCTCCCTCCCTCTCTCTCTCCTCTTCCCTTCTTCTCTCTTTCTTCCGTCCATTCATCTCATGTTCTCATTTACTTTTAGCTCGCACCTTGACTACAGGTGGGCCGGTGAAAAGAAAGGAGCCTCTCCGGAGCTGCCATGTTGTTGTATGTTAAAAGCATTAAGAGGGGTCGCTGACACTTTGCACGGCCTTGGAGAAAAGATGCCGCCGCACAATAGCGTAAAAGCACAAGTGTAAATAAAGTAAACACTTGGCTTATACAAGAAACATCCAATTAAAATCTAAACTTTTAAAGCACATTCAAAATTTAGTCTCATCCATGAACTCCCCGTTCGCCCCTCTGTGTTTTACTAAATTAGATACATCTTCTTTTATGAAAATATCAATTACAAAGTTTTAAAATCTAATGACGCTCTTGTAGTTTCTTGTGAACGAGGTGATTTTTCTGTACACCGCAAAGTAACTGTTTTATTCAAAGCTTTATGAATAAGAAAACCTTTTCCAAAACACAAAACGAAGAGGTTCCAGTGAGGTCTTACGCTCTTAAGAAGACGTTTTATTGGTAATTTGGATCAATTATGAATATTCAGTTTTTCGTGGACTGCGTCTGCAAAATCCCAGGTTAAATTTTATTTTCAAATTGCTGGATTATTCATTTATTTATCTCCTTTTCCAGTTTAGATAACGCATTAGACATTGACCGGATATAGGATTTCATTTAGCCCTAGATTTCGATTGTTACTCCACGATATTAATGTATTTCGATTTATTTATTCTCATTTTCGTTTGCCTGAAAAACTTATGACGACTAGGCTCAGATCAGTGGCCCTTTAGTCCCTTGGCCTCTACAGTTACAATAAAAGTGCGTAATATAATAATGTATACGTTAGAAATTCTGGTCCATGAGTGCAAATTATCGTGTCGTTTATGTTGGGCCTGCT